TCTTTTCTCTGTCGGTGATCGTATGATGAAAATCGCAAAACGCACCTGACTTCCTCGTATTCAAGATGACACAGAATAAACACTGATCAAAATAAAGAAAATCTGTGAACGTAGCGTTCTTTAGTATGTTATCAGCTATCAGAAAAGTCTAAGAAAACCTAATTCGGACGCACAGTAAGCTAGATATGACCAAAATCCGGTTTCTAATCTAACAGACCTCGTATGTCTTAACACTGATTACCTCCCATTTGTAAAAAAAATGGAATGATTATGTTGGATCCAAAGAGTAGGTATCTATTTCTCCTTTGAAATTTACTGTATGACACCAATACATTTCAGGAGGGCCTATTGAGGGCCTTTTTACATCACGATCAATAAAGTCTCAAGTATATACCATTAATTTTATACGGCAATTGGTCAGAAAGTCCTAGACACGTCGACAAGATAACCCAACTTTAAGTGCAAGGCGTACGTGTGAAAGTTGCAGTTTACTCACGACTGTAATAGTTGGGGAACTTCTCTAAAAATGTTCCTTGCGGCTCAATGAAAGAAGAGTGTGTTAGTGACGTTAGTCTCAGGAAAATGCATCTCAGCTCAAAAGTTTACCAAGATTTTAATCAGTATTCCCTAAATTGACGTTTCAGTTCAAAGGCCCAAGAGAAAAATTGAATTCTAATTGAATTTCTTACTGTAGTTTATCAAAAAAGTCTATCGTAGGATTGTGTTTAAGTTTCATTCGCCCGAAAAAATCGTAGTATTCATAGTAAACTAAATTCACAAAGAATCTCCGCCTTTCATAAGAGAAAATTCTAATCGTAAATGTTTGAATTTAATTTAAATGCATTGGTGGCCAACAATTTTGCGTGAAGTTTGAAACGTTGGCAATTTTTAAGATATGAGCTAAAATGTTTCAAAAAATGTTGAAAGTTCATTAAACAGGCTCAGTCAAAGTTGCAACATATCCTTCTTGGTTACGACCCATTAAGGCGTTTTCATCCGTGAAAAGTTCCATCTGCAGAAAGTTTTCCTGGTTTCTGCTTGAATATGCTGCTTAATGTCTTGCTCAGGGCATTACAAAAACATTGCACTGTTAATAAGATTAAATAGGTTATAGACTAATGTCGGTCCTTCAAACGTTCGTTCCGGCTTGAGCCGTAAGTTAGGACGGCCGGGCATTGAAATTGCGTCGCAAGTTAAAGAAGGGGGCCATCCGATTCAAGCTGCCAATTCGACGAGAAAGTCCCATGAATTTCTTCGAAGTTTTTACCAGCGGAGGAAGAAAATATTTGAATTGTCATAGCCACGAGGCTACGCCGACTACAAAATGACGCTCCACGACGCATTGACTTGGCATTTCATGTTTTATGTATCACGATTGGAGGTCGTAAGAGTCAGCGTTCACTCGTCCATTCCGTTGCCGTTGCCCGCTCGGTGCTGTTGACCGTTGACTTATTGTTGACTGTTGACCGGACATCGAGCACGAAGCCTGCCACTTGACGCCGGAACACGCGTCGGATTTAAATTTCAAAGCACATTTTTGCGGAATTCCCAGGCGTGTACTCATGTGCAGTGCATTAGCGCGGACTGCTCCACTGTTCCTGATAGTCTTTTATATCCTCATGAGCTTTAAATTAGGGTGGAGCGAAAAAATCGAATTTCGCGGGGGAAGCGGGTCTCATTAAAAAAAGTTGTCGAATGGGCTCAATATGAAGTACAAGAAATTTCATCGCATTAAATTGACCCCCTCCCACCCCATAGTGGCCTTAAAGGCCTAAATTTTCAGTGTGAGATTTCAAGGTTTCAGACATTTCATTTTCGAAAGATTTTTAAAAATTTTGCGTTTATGGGGGCAAAAGTTCGTCCATTTTGTCGTATCATGAACCGTAACGCACAATTTGTAAGACAAAATTGGCGAGCGGGGACCCTTCTCGAGGACGCATCGAGATATTTTGTGTATCCATAACTAAAAAAGCTGTTCGATATATAAGCGCATGGCCTTATGAATTAGGTGCAGGATTACCGATCGTCTGACTATAAAAGGCAGATACTGTTAGTGAACGGGGGAGCTCATTCGGTGCCCTTTACCGAATTTACCTGATTATTACAAAACTGCATGGCGATTGCCTGATCAATAGCTGTTTCCTATTTTAAGTTCGTTATTAGACATGTCATTTTCGTCAACAAAATGTTTGTTATTCGTCCTTACTTCATGGAAATTAGTAAAGTATATGAAGTATAGTGCGTCGGCGCGTAGTGTCAAATAATACCTCATAAGGTGATTCGTCAAGCTCAAAAGAAGTGGTCGAACTGGCATGCGATATATCGCATCTTTTAGGTCAAAAATCTCGGCAGATTTTGAATTTTCAGCAAAAAAAAAGGACGATAGCCCCTGCGCATGAGCCTAAAGAATCATTCTAAACCCAAAAATTGGCAAAATTCAGAGAAATGAAAGCAGGATAGTGTTTGGAAAAAAACCTCGCATTCGATTTAGCTATCGATTTCTGTATCGAATGCGAGGTTTTTTTTCAAACACTATTCTGCTTTCATTTCTCTGAATTTTGCCGATTTTTGGGTTTAGAACGATTCTTTAGGCTCATGCTTAGGGGCTATCGTCCTTTTATTTGCTGAAAATTCAAAATCTACCGAGATTTTTGACCTAAAAGATGCGATATATCGCATGCCAGTTTGACCACGTCACTTGAGCTTGACAAATCACCTTAAACAAAGAGCAAAGCTCTTTTCTTCTCTGTTATATGGCTAGATATTAAAAAAGGTTGTCAATGGGGCCTTAAATCTTGACGCACAGTGTCTACGTCGAGATTTGGCGATCGCGTCATTAACCGTCGGATTCGTCAATCGTATACGTACGTCGCGACGCAGCGCACCAAGTGGCAATAGTCTATATTGCGCGTCAGAAAATAGTTCCTTCTAGCAATAAAAATGAAAATGCCGAAAAAAGATAATTTTAAAAGCCTATCATGTAAATAAAATTGCACCTTTTTATTTTAAGTGTTTTGGGAATCACGATTTACTTGAGGTCAATGAAACCAAAATTCGCGCCTATTTCTCGTATTATTTTCGCATTTCTCCCTCTCTGAACAGGTCCTTACTGTTTGATCGATTTACACACCAAGCTAAGACGCTGTAGATCGAAAGTTGAACTAACTAGAACTCCGGTTGTTCCATGAGAAACCTTGCGTGGGAAATTTTTTTTTAACGTCCGAATTGGTCACCCTGGTAAAAATTGGCAGTAGAATCTGTGTTCCAAAATACCATAGACCTACAGCCGGCTGTAAGATTTCCAATAGCTTCTATAGCCGGCTGTAAGATTTCCAATAGCTTCTATAGCCGGCAACACAATTTCTTATAGCCTTTTATAGCCGATGGCGACTATAAGCAACAGCCTGGCGATAAAGTGTATGCTAAACGTTACTAATTACGGATGCTAGGACTTAGTGAGTTTTTGGACTACCGCTCTCTTCTTGGGCCGTAGTATCTTTATTTATTTTGCGAGGAAAGCTCCGTCCTTTGGAAGGATGCCTGCCATTCCTAACATGTTGGAGCGCCTGCAATTTTGTATGATACTGTGCGTACCTCTGGTGTGAAATAGTTGCTTCAAGCGCCGTGGTACGCTGCGGCGCGGAGCGGCGGGCGGGCAGCCAGCGCGAAACACGCATTGGCGCCTTCAAGCCTAACGAGGATACTTCAAACATTGCGCAATGCGTGAAGTATCCCTGTTAGGTTTGAAGGCGCCAGTGCGCCGCCGCTCCGCTTTGTGTTAGGCTCTAATATTCAATCTCGTGGGGTCAGCGTTTTTCAACTCATGACTTTGAAATGATTGCACACTCTGTATGGACTATTCTCATTTTAATTGATGAAAAAAAAAAATATGTTTCAAAGGAAAATATAATGTGTGTTTTGTAAATATTAAGGTAGTTATCAAACTTAATGATTTCCAAAGCACACGAATTTCTACACAATTTCCTATAGCCTTTTATAGCCGATGGCGAAAAAGCAACAGCCAGGCGATAAAGTGTAAAGCCCGGCGATAGGAACTATAGCCTGGCTGTATAATTTTTTATCGTTTCGTGCAGCCCGGCCGTATAATTTTTTCCACTTTCTACAGCCAGCTATATAATTTTCTATCGCCTTCTTCAGTCGGCTATAAGAGCTCCTATGGTATTTTGAAACGCAGATCCTATCGAGAATTTTTACCAGGGCATTCCTATCCAGGGCCTATGCTATCAAACTTGTTTCCCTGTAATGGATACGGGAATGTTTGATCACTTACAGTACATTTTAAAGGACCTTCAAATCGATGGCTAACGAACAACACCGTCTATATGCAAACTGACGGTTTTGAAGAACGAAGAAAAATCTTCACCATTTTTGTAATTTTAAAATTAGATTCGTAATTTTTCGTATATTACAGTGTCATTGAAGTGCTTTCCTACGGAATTGGAAAAAAAACTCAAGTCGTCAGCTTACACATTTTATACTGTAGAATGCGGTGAAGTTGCTGACTCATTTTAGCCAAAATTGTCAGTTAGGTTAGGTTCCTTAAGGTTTTCCTTATCCCTCAATAACTAATTGACGCGAGTTCAGATAGACTCAAACTTATCTGAATAGATTGTCTAGATTCAAATGAATAAATGATGTTTTGATGTGTATACTGGAAATATCTGGATCTCTGGCACTATCTTATTCCGCGAGGCTACAGACTTTATTGATGTTGTTGTACTCTATCCCTCTCTCATTCGTAATTTTCAACTGTTTTTGAAAAAAAAAATATTATAAATGCGTATAAGTATGAGTAATGAGTATAATCGCTGATGAGGTCAGATACATAGAAATTTTTGCTCTACAATGTTTTGTAATCAAGTCAAAGCAATACGGCTGGTATTTAAATAACCCTTTACTTTAATAAACTCAAATCTCATGTTGCGCAATTTGCTCCAGGATATTTGTTAAAGAAAAATATTTGTTTTGATGTGTTGCAGGACCCAATGTCTCATAGAATTATTGAAAAACGGCGGCGAGATCGGATGAACAACTGTTTAGCTGATCTTTCAAGACTCATTCCCGCCGATTATTTAAAAAAGGGCCGAGGTCGCATCGAAAAGACTGAAATCATAGAAATGGCTATCAAACACATGAAGTCTTTACAGAGCCGATCCACTAGTAATAGTAAGTACAGCTCGTTATAATTACTCCATAAGCAAACATTAAATCTCTACATTTACCCATCACTAGACTGTAGCTGTGAACTCGCCTTGCCAGCCAAAGAGCTTGCCAAAAAAGTACCCCTTTTCAGGAAGCGTGGGGATTTACTTCAAATAAATTCCAAGCAAAGCCTAATGATGAGGCAATTCTTCATTTAAAGTTTTAGCTTAAGTTCAAAGCTCGTTTTGGCAAAGCAGCGCTGCAAAGTTTGCATTTTTAACTGTTGAAAATGTTAATATTTTGAAATTGTTCGGTTTGACAAACAACTTGAATCGATCTTTTTTTTTACCTTTCTCCGGGGCACAATTTCCTTAGTTGATGTTACTTGAGGATTAAGACTGTTGTTAACATTACGATCAGTCGTAATACAGCGTGGCGAAGTTTATCCAATATGGCCCAGCCTACCATCTTTGCTGCTGCCAAAGCAAGCTTTCCACGGCGGAAAAACGAAGTTTGAATGTCCAAATGTTGCCAAATTGCTTCTGATAAAACTTATTTATCAGGAAAGTTTAGAATATATTTCTTTGAAATTTTTAGAATAATTTAATTAGAGTAAGTAATTTCTTTCTTTAGTTTCTCAAAAACGTTAAATAGAAAGAGCTCACAAGTTTCCCAGATAATTCGTATTTAACTGGAGGAAATTCGACAAGGCTCGAGTTTTCATACCGCGGCGTTTTCCCGAAACGCTCCAGTATTTATATTAGATTTTAAAACAACGTTACCGGTAATAACGCTTTGAGACAACTATCCGTGCTCCATGAAGATCCGTGTTACATATTAAAAATTGAAGGCGCTCCGGTCACTCTAGCCTATGAAGTAGTGCTAGCAGCGACACGCTGTCACAACTCGGTGTGACATGGCGGTGGAGTTTAACATTTTGATAAGTGAAAATTGTACGAAAATATTCTTCCCTGTTCTCTTGTCCTAGTACTTCTTAACAGGGAGTTTCATCTTGCTATATACTCGTATAATGCGCATGCGCACCACACGCTGCTGCGTGCACTGTTTCGTGAACAAGGGTAACCGGGGCGGCGGAGCGCCTTCCACTCTTTCATATGCAACACGCATGTTCATTGAGTACGAATAGTTGTATCATGTAATAAGGCGCTATTATGAACAACATTAAATACGTTGCTTCTGTTGATTGAGATATTGGCATAAGAAGGCCGAAGGGCCGTCCCGACCTATCCTACCTGATTTTTGTTGGAAAAATAAAAGTATACATTTTTTAAACGATTCTTTGCAAATGGAATTTTTTTTCGTAGGACACACTATGTAAAGTAAGAAACTTTAAAAATAACATTACATTTCTGAATGAGCGTTTAAGTCTTTAATCATTCCTCGTCTTTTCCGATAATTGATCTTTCCCATCAGACTTGAACATGGAAAGAAATAAACATATAACAAAAAAAAACAATAAACAAACAAACAAAGGAATGAATAAATAATTAATAGGATTAGAAAGACATCTATAACTTTGAGGGTATAACAAACTCGGACATTTGAATGCTTTCTTGCTCGTCCATCATTTTCAGCTAAATATTTTTTTTTTCTTTCACTAATTGGGAAGTTTTCTTGTCATTTTCTACGTCAAAAATCGCTCTAACTTCGTTTATTGCTCCTCAACTTTTTTCCCCTTAGTTATTTTTGTCATCCTAATTTACGCCCCATGGTTTCAAGATGAGAACCCTTTTAGGAATAGTGTAAGAACACTAAAGGATCCATTTTTGATTGGCGGCTCAGCCGGCCTAGAGTATCTGCATGGTGATGTTTAGAGCCCAAAAGTGACTTTTTTGCAATCAGATTAAGGTTAAAATACCTATAAATTTGGTAATGTTCCTTCGCAGAATCGGAAATTTTACCTCACTAACTTGATAAAACGTGTTTAATTCATTTGAAAACTATTTGAGCGGCACGTAAATAACTCCCTCCAGCACACACTTTTCCGGTGACAAGGTACGCAACAAGTGCAACTGATAATAACTGCCAAAATTTACCCCTACTAGAAAACCAAAATAACTGTCAAGAAAACCCCCTCCTATCCAAAGTTGCTGCCATGCTGGGGTAGCTTTCTCATACTGGTATTCACGCATCAAGCATGGAAAAAAATGAAATTTCTGATCTAACAATTTTGCAGTTAAAAAGTGCCCGACGTGTTACATGTAGATTTTACAATAAAAAAATGCTAATTTAATCATCCCCGTGGTTAAATTATATTCTCACATTTGTAAAATGTACATTTGAAACAAATCGGACATATTTTTTAACAATGGACCACTAGATAAGGTACGAATTTTAGCATTCTGATACATGTTTCTTAACCAAAATTTCACGTAAAACACAATGCGCACAACGAAATTAACCGAAATCAACTCCTTACGAAGATAATTAATGATTCTTGATGCGTAAATTCAAACCACCCACCCATGAAAACTCAATGCTCTACGTGATTCACATCGCGCGCTAAACGTTATCATGACAGTCTCTGCGATATAAAAATCTGACAATCTCAATCTTGACGCTTTGGCTCAGTTATAGCAAATTTATAATAGTTTGATCAACACATTGTGGGAATTGAACATTGCTCAATTGAGAAGCTTGCTGAAACCTTTGTAGTAGGCGATTTGACTCACGTAGAGCTTTGAGTTTCTTGTGAGCGGGTAGTTCAAATTCCTCGTAACCAATGTGAAATAAAAACGTTAATATCTTCGTTAGGAATTGGTTTCAGTAATTTTCGATGTGCGAATCGTGTTTTACGTGAAATTTTGGTTAAGGAACATGTATCAGATCGCTTGAATTCGTACCTAGGCTAGTGGTCCATTCCATCGTTAAATCAGCAATCCAATTTTTTCCGTGAATGCAGCAGGTGCAAGGAAATGGAGGAGCGACGCTGCCTTTCAGTGAAGATTCCTCTCTATATTTTTAAAATGTTTAACAGTCTAATTTTTCAGAAATTTTTCTTTTTCAGAATCACAAGAGATAGAACGACGGGCAGAAGAGGAACGGCTTCGGGAGTCGCCAGCGCAAAGCTCCGAGGCTGCGTCCAGGGTGAACAGGCCGAGTAGCAGCACCAGCCCCAACACAATCATTCCTGAGCACTTCAGGCTAGGTTTCCAAGAATGTCTCTCAGAGGCCATGCATTTCCTCGTAGAGGTCGAAGGCTTCTTTGCCAACGACTCGTTTTGCGTTCAGTTCATGAATCACTTACAGAAACATTGCGATAAAATTTTGAAAAGTAAGTACTTCTCTATCAACTCGTTTGGAGGAGCGGAAGAAGTGCCTCGCAATATCCAAGTAGGAGGCTTAATGTAGAGTACCTGTATAGGGAGAGTAGCGACAGATCGGTTCATGGAGGGCTTAGGGCCCAAAAGTTCCTTCCACCCTTCTGAGCAACTTCTAACACACAAAATTTCACTGCCAGCCTACAGATTTCAATTCTAACCAAGATGGCTAAGAATGTATATAAATGAGCGTTCTTTCGCAAAAATAAGTAAATTTATGCAAAAAGTAAACCAAATACATGCTTTCTAAACGACAGTTCGTAACAATTGTATTTGTAAATCGCTCTAGACATTCGAAATTCATAGGTTGGCTGCCCTTTTGGGCCCTAATTTTATTCGCGGAGGCATCGGTGAAGGCCTGATGGACTTTCGGAGTTTCACATCTGTCGCTACTCTCCCTATACAGGTACTCTAGCTTAATGTTCAAAGAGTGCATGGCCTATGGCAAGCCATGTAACACAGTTTTTGTAACTTCTCCATCTGTTTATAAATGTTTTGTAAGGTGAAATTTCAGTCTCAACGTAGAATTATCATAGAGTACATAGAGTCGTAATGCAAGTGGGAGAGCTGGCGCCCCTTTTAAGCATTTTCCAGGTCCCGAATTCCGAGATTCCTGTGCGGCGCCGGGTCCCTTTTTCGATACATAATCGATGGTTTGCAATACACGGGGACCCGGCCATATTCCACTCCGCCATTTTGGATCGAATATGTATCGAAAAAGTGACCCCGCACACCGGGCTCGAAACTCGTCGAGCAGAACATGGCGCCAGCTCTCCCTATTACATTACGACTCTATGTACTCTATGAGAATTATTGAGGAAAAACTCTGTGATTGCGAGGAAAATTCAATTCGGTGCGGTGGCGTTTGCGGACGTGGCGTTTGCGGATTCTAAGAATCGGGTGGCGTTTGCGGATTCTCATATTTTGACGGTGGCGATTGCGGACATGCGGAACAGGGCCGGTGGACTTTGCGGACCGGAGAATTTCGGCGGTGGCGATTGCGGACGGAGGGGTAGGCACCTACATATGCTGCCCCCCACCCCTGCGCTGTATATGAAAGAGAAAAATTACCGGAGAGGCTCTGGATTCCTTGCCGTGGATGTAGAATGAAAACAATATTAGTATTAAACATTAGTATTATATTAGTATGAAAACATATGAGCTGTGAACATACAGTAAATTTTTAAAAACAGGCACATCAGAAATCAAGAAACTGAAAAATCGTCAGTTTCAGTTCATTTTTAGGATGAAAAACATGTTGTAAATTCTAGTCCAAAATTACTGAAAGTCAAAAAATTAAAATGTGTTGTAATTTTTCGTTGTAATTTTTTGACTTTCAGTAATTTTGGACTAGAATTTACGACATGTTTTTCATCCTAAAAATGAACTGAAACTGACGATTTTTCAGTTTCTTGATTTCTGATATGCCTGTTTTTAAAAATTTACTGTATGTTCACAGCTCATATGTTTTTATACTAATATAATACTAATGTTTAATACTAATATTGTTTTCATTCTACATCCACGGCAAGGAATCCAGAGCCTCTCCGGTAATTTTTCTCTTTCATATACAGCGCAGGGGTGGGGGGCAGCATATGTAGGTGTCTACCCCTCCGTCCGCAATCGCCACCGCCGAAATTCTCCGGTCCGCAAAGTCCACCGGCCCTGTTCCGCATGTCCGCAATCGCCACCGTCAAAATATGAGAATCCGCAAACGCCACCCGATTCTTAGAATCCGCAAACGCCACGTCCGCAAACGCCACCGCACCATTCAATTCCACGAGGTTATATAATCTTACTTCAGTACTTAAGATGTATGAAGAATAAAGACCGTTGCGCCAACGATACAATCATCCTCTGAGGCAAAACTTTACTGCCATATGTTGTATTCTTTTCCTGTGTAATTCTTTGATTTAATTATTCTGTCTGGGAACCATTAAAGGGGAAAATACTCATGAGGCAGGTGAATTAAGGAAAAACTTGCTGACATCAAAGTATGTTTTCTAGAGTGTACGTGTAATCATTTTGCCTGTTTTCAGGTGACAGAGTGAACCAACCGCACACGCATCTCAACGATACGTCGTCGTCCAGTAGCTTGGGGAGCAAGCCATTGGATTTAGGATCAAATTCTAGCACAGACGGAAGCTCACACCCAACTGGCGACCAGGGTTATGATTCGGCCAATAGCAGCCAACTTAGAGACATCCTTACCAGTCCTCACTTTTTCAACCACCGTTCTACCACAGTCCGACAGGTGAGACACACATTCTCAGCTTATATTCTTCTATGATGAAAATCTAAGACGTCCATTTCCAACAATTCAATCAAACAAAAGTCCGCTGGGAAATTGGATAGCTCCCGATGGGCCGACAGACTGGTACTCTGAGTAGTCCAGTGGGCTGGTCAGATGGTAAGGAACATGAACGTATCTGAGGCTGGGAAAGTAGAGAGGAAGAAAAAAGAGGAAGACATGCAGAAAATTTGCAAGGCTTAGGAAAACTTCAAGATCAAATTGCGAGTAAATCGAAGTATTTTAAAAATTTGGGGGACGGGGGGTGGGGTCGGAGTTTCACAAGTTTATCAGACAATCCGTATTTTATCAATCGGAAGCTGACGGCGCCCGAAGGTTCATACGACACTCTTTCTTATCACGGCAGAAATCATGATTCAAGTACAGACGAAGTGACGAGAAAGGGGCTTCTCATTCTTTTCGGACTTTCATTTCGATGTTTCGAAATTAAAATCAGCCAAACCGGCCGATGGCTTTTATCTTAATTTATCAGTCATCCGAACTTAAAGTCCATGCCCTTTACCAAAAACCAATGCACTTGCTTACTTACGGAGAACCAGGGAGACCTCTCGCCATCGTAGCCTAGAAATTGGAAACCATTTGGCGCCAAACGAATATGAATATTTACGTTTCAGTAGATATATTTAAAATGAACAACGAAAGGTCACGTTTTTTTAGAATCTCCTAGGAAAGGGCCTGTTGACCTCCTCTCAATCTATGTCTAGTTCAGTTCGACGATGCAACTGAACGAAATGTGGAGAAAAGCGAGGACTTGATTGGCAGAGGACTATAAAAGCACGATTTCGATTTCGAGCGCTCTCGTCTTTTTGTGTGATACCCTACCCTTTACCGTGCAGTTAAATTAGTTGAGCAGCCGACCCAAATCCAGCTTGTGTTACCGACATTGAGCGCCTTCACCATCACTTGATACTCTACGCTTTGTGGTGCTGTTAGTTTAGTTGCCTAGTCGATTCGAACCAACCTCAGAGCTCCGAAAAGAGTATATCTTGCTTCATTTTGGGCGCGATCTCGGATGGGAGCGCCCTCTCTTTACATTATTTTTCTGGTTCCATAAAGGGTTTGCCAGTATGTGTTTTTTTTATTGATGAAGAAGGAATAAGAGGCTTGGAGGACAAGGCGCATAAGTGCAGTGTTTGAAAAATTGGGAATATAATGATTACAAGTGAAACTAGTCATAATGAATATTCTGTGAAAAATTCGATCCCAAATTCCAAAATTTAAGCATCAAAAAGTCAGTTTGATCTATTTTCCCGCCATAGGGATCTATGTAATTTCAAAACTTCAAACACTTATCTCTCGAAATAGCGAAAACTGCACCTACACTGGAAAAAAAACACATTGGATCTAGAGTCCAGACTCTTGAAAACATTGACAAGGAAAAAAATTCTTGATTCAGTCGGATTTTTGCTTGAATCAAAACGAAATCCGTTTACATTAAGAGGCTTGGTTTTTGATTTGAGCTAGATTCTGATTGAATCAAGAGTACTTTTTCTTGTCCATGTTTTTAAGAGTCTGGACTCTAGATCCAATGTGTTTTTTTCCCCAGTGTATGCGCCTCGTCCTCCAGCACCTCAAATAAAATTATTAGATTTTTTAAGTGAACCGGATTTGTTATTTGTTCTACAGGCACCTCCGTCTCCCACGCTGACGACCAGCTCGATCGTGGACGGGTACAGTCCAGCGAGTTCGCTGTACAAATTCAAGAACAACATCAAGCAACGGTTCAGCGCGGAGCACGCGGTGGCGCCCGAGGCCCCATCGCCGCTCATGGTCGGATCGTCCGGTACAAATCTGAAGAGGCGCCGGGATTGCTCCCAGGAGAGGAAGTCAGCCGTGAGCACGGAACCTTTCCTGCCGGCACCACCGTCGTCCAAGTACCAAGCACTCACCACCTACCCCTCCTCCTGTAGCGACTCCGTCAATAATAATTATAGTATTCCGATTTTCGCACTACATTCCAAAGGCGCTTTCTACGTTCCCTTGACGGTCGACTTCAACACCCTCGCCCCGTTCCTGAACGAGCAGAGTATCGACATGATGAGCGTCAACTTCTCGTCGCTCATCCTGCACCCAGTCACCATCTCGGTCAACTTCTGCCAGCAGCCGATGGGGACCATCAGTCGGCCGATGAGACTCTACCCTTCGTCGCCGTCGTTCGTGTCGACCAGCTGCTCGCCGCAGTTGAACCAAACCTGGCCGCAGACCAACGTCGCGTCCAACCATTTTCAAACGTTACCAAAGTGGGCCACGTGTACTCCCGAAACTCAATGAAAACATGTTTCGCTGCAGATCCCATGTTACCTTATCATTTCTTTTCTCTTCACTTCAGTCATCCTATTTATTTGTTGCTCCAGCTTTTGCTAAAGTTTCCTTCTCCATTCTGAAAATGGACGCCGTAGCTAAAGATAGACCGAGTATCTTGTTCCAATGTGCGAGGCACGCTGCTACACGGTAGAAACTAAAAATTGCTCTAACCCTCATTGTAGTCTGTTTAGATAATTGATGAATTGCCTGTGAGGGAGAATTATAGGCTTTATCGTGGGAATCGGTTTCCAACATAGGGCGCTACCTGTCTATTTCAGTACCAGTCTCTACCTTCCCATGTTGCTCCTCACACCATCAATATAGATCGATGAACTATTGATTGGTTATATCACCAGAGGCTGCGATCGGCAGTGTGAACCAATCAGGTTTCATTTTTTTGGTAAAATTCTCAGGATTCCAATCCAACTTTCTCATGCATCACTCAGTGGAAGCTATTTTCATCAGGACACGAAATGACAGTGCCATCATCAATCGGTTTATCGATCTGTGTTGATCGGGTGATACAGGCGAAAAAGAGGAAACTTCTAGCTTTAGTTGGAAGTTATTTCTCCGGCATTAAATGTAAGAGAGTCAACACTCTTGTTATGCTTTAAAGGTTTTGCGGATGATTTTAGGATTATTAAGCATATGATAGAAAAGGATTTTCTCTTCCTGTCTGTGTTTATACATATTTTTTGAGATGTTTTTAAGATGTTTTTAAAGTATTTGTTTGAAAAATAAATGTAAAGTATGAATATTTTCGCAATCTCATGCAGTTATTTATTGCCCAAGCCTCGTATACCTTCCTCTAATGTGATGTTTTGGTGGCAGAAGGAAAACCAGAATGATAACAGAGCACGGTCAATTCACCTCTCTTGAAAACTGCGTACAAGGTGCCCTTGCATCGCACGACCCGAATTAACTGAATCAGAGGGAAGAACGGCTCTACGATACATTCCAGAGTATTCATCAAATTGTTTATAGAATCTTAGCACATCATTCTAAGATCTAGAATAAAAATGTTCTTTTTTATAAGAAAAAAGGGCATTTTATTTTATAAAAAAATCCTGTTTTTATTTTTATATATCCGTTTTAATGTACGTGTAACTGAATCATAAAAAAATGAATTGCATAGGTACCTACTCGTAAGATGTTCTCTTTTTACAACTTTTTACATAATTTTACTCACATCATTCAATGCTTTTTCTGAAACGGCCTGTCGTCCGTAATCATAGTTGCAATAAAATTTGACGGTGCTGCGTATTTAAAATAATAACCAATAGAAATACCGTAAACTAAAAAAAAAGTACAAATAACTAGAAAAATAAAATACAAAAATTGTAGGTAATTTCAGATAGTAATAGGGTTGAATGATCTGGACTGTGCTAAAAAGGGAGACAAATACTATATATCTCATCATGACAAATTAAAAAGTAACAAATTCAAAGAATACCTCATTTACATTAGACAGACAGGAAATACAATGGTTATTTTATGTATTGTTTTCTTGAGGCTGAAACTCGACATTTGTCCTCGTTCCCATTTCACTGAGAAAACTGTCACTGTGAAAATTCCCTTTTTTCTAGTCTTGCCATAGTTTAGTTAAAATGAGTGATTATATCAATAGAACAAGAGGAAGACTAGAGAAGTAGGTAATTGATAACGCATATATGGACGGTGAAATTCCCGAACCACATACCTCATTTGCAGTATTTGGAAATCCCCGATCCTATTTTTATTTTTTTAAAGGAGAAAAAGTTAACATCATTATTCCTTGAAGTTTTCACAGAATTTTTTGCGCACAAAGAAAAGGGTCACGGCAGCTTTTAAGAATAGCCGTTGAGTAGTTTTCCACTTTAAAAATAAATTAGGTATGGCAGGAAGTCTGCAACGTCGCAAACCGAGATATGTTGTTTGGATTGTTTGGAAGTTTCACCGTCGATACGTTTCCTTTTTTGAACATTTGGATGTATTTATGCTAAAATGAACTATGTGCATAGGGTTTGCGTGTAACATAGTTCTTTTTAGCATAAATACGTCCATTTGTGACTGGTGAGCCGAGTTGGGAAGAGGGAACAAAACTCGAACGAGCAACTGTTCGTGCTTGAACGTAGCTGTGCTGGTATCGTATGTGAATGAAGGCAATTTTTGATGCTCTAGGCTCAAACGATAGCTCAATTGTTCGGCTTATTTGAAGAATGACGTAACGGTCAAAAGTCAAGTTTCGATAAAACATAAAAAAATTGATTTCTTCGTCAGTTCTTCATATTTCTGTTCGAGAAAACCAACCACTCTTCTACATACAATCTATGATAAGACCGCGGTTGATCAAGGAACGTCGGATAATTGGGCAAAAAATGCAAATTTTAAAATTTTGATGGATACGCCCTTCTTTCACAAAACCGCTCAGTAGTGCCTCATTTTTTGCAGTATCATAACAGTCAAATAGCATGCGTGCTTAATAAAATATTAAAAATTATAGGTTGTGCCCTCACTCGTCTTTTTTATCAACCCTGCATTTGGAGAGGTGGCTCGAGGACTATGCCTTTTTATATTACAGCAGGTATTCAAATTTTCAAAAAAGATGCCCCAAAAGCAATTTTGATATAAAATCTCTCGGTACTAATGTGCGCCCACTCTAAAAAAATAATTTTCTGTCGAAAACTCAATTTCTGATATTTGGCGCGTATACACCTCTCTTCGTATAACCTGTTCGATTTTTTTTGTGAGTTGTGGCTTCGTTTTCCACTTGGATTCTCGGCGGTCTCACAAGGAGTCAGCACATCGACAGTGAATTTACCAGACGTATCCAAATATTTGGATTTAAAAAAAAAAAAAAAAAAAAAAAAAAAAAAAAAACTTAAAATAAATTATAGTCACTGCGCTAACTCAGTCTATAGGTAAGTATAATTGACATAATCTTTTAATTAGATAAATAACTTTAAAAAAATAATGGTGGTACCACATTATGAAAACAAATGACATGTCGATGGCCGAATGCTAAACCTCATATCTCCATTACGGTGTTTCAAGATCTCTGCTCCTATTTTATTTTTTCGAAGAGAAACAAGCAAACTTCATAGTTTGAAATTCAGGTACAAACTATTCTGCTGGCAGAGAAAAAAAACCAAGGAGGTTTTCAGGAATTTACGTTGACTAGTTTCCCGAAGAAAACATAAAGTATGGCAGGAAGTCTGTGATGTCGCAAATGGAGATACGTGGTTTCGCACTTTGGCCATCGAAGTAATTGGAGGATCGGAGTGCAAAAAGGGCATTTTTTAATTTCAGTATTTCAGATTTTTTTTTTTTTATTCTCAGAATCAGGGGAGAAAAATGTTGGCAGAGACGTGGAAAATCTGATTATTTTTCATAATTTCGATGTCTATAGTACAAGTCCCGAGTTTAATGATCAAGCCCACAAAATAAGAAGTTGCTGGTGAAGATCCCGAAACACTTTAACGGAGAAATGCCCTTTTTTCACCCGAGTCCCCAATTTAACGAAGTCCACGCCAAATAGCACTCACTTTTAGATTGAGACAGAGGATCCGCTATCTTGATTCTTTTATTTACAATAAATGCTAAACATGAGGAAAGCTGATTTCCTGTTGCACTCTAAAAGTGCGTAAAATGATTTGATGTAGACTCCTAGCACCACCCCTGAGAATGAGATACAAACTAATGGCATGCGATCAGTCTAAGCGTGCTTCTCGCAAACTTTCGGGTACAAGTTTTTCAATTGAATCGGTGTCTGGTAGACTGGTGTAAGTTCAAAAAATCATGAGCCCTGGCTTTCGTTGATCACGCAGGACGCTATGGATCATGAGTTTTTGGACTTATGCCCGTCTAACAGATTCTGATTCAATTATGCTTCGTGTAACATGGGCCATAGCTCCCAGCGTTAAAGCTGCGTGTCTGACTTCATCGGAAAATGATGATGAGGGAGGAAAAAAAGACCAGCAAGAAGAGAGCTGCTTGTGAGCTTGGTCCAACACCAGATGCGATGCGAGTGAAGTATGGGAGCGTATCCAAAGCAGCGGGGTAATTTGTCAGCCACACTGGACCCACGATCACTGGTTTATCAATCTTAGCTTCATCTCGCCATTGACCCTTCGGCAAATAAATGTCACGGCTGGTGGCGCCTTTCTCTAAAACTGGCGCGATGAGGATATTTTCACCCAGCATAAACTCTGAAAAATAGCGGAAGAAAAAATAATAACACTACATTAACCGAACAGTTGAATGGAGATGTTGCATGTGTGAGGGATTTACGATTTGACCATTGATTTTTATGTAAAAGTTCGCGAGAAACATGATGGTGCCACTGGTTTTCTCTGAAATCATCTCCCAAGCTCAAAAAAAGCTCTCAAAGTGAGGCCAAAAGGACAGGATATCCCACCCTACCCCGAGAGTCCACCTCTACATCAAAACAAACTCTCCGTGCAAAGATGGGGAGCAAATACATTAGCAGGGTTGCCAATTTATTTGGGGACTCCAAAACTGAAAACACGGCAACCCTGCCAATGTATTTGCTCCCTATCTTTGCATGGAGAGTTTGTTTTAATGTAGAGGTGGACTCTCAGGGTAGGGTGGGATATCCTGTCCTTTTGGCCTCACTTTGAGAGCTTTTTTTGAGCTTGGGAGATGATTTCAGAGAAAACCAGTGGCACTATCGTGTTTCTAGCGAACTTTTACAAAAGAATCAATGGTCAAATCGTAAATCCCCCACACATGCAACATCTCCATTTTCTCTTTTCCACTCATATTATATGACCTTTGAAATGTATGTTGAGGTCTTTACAACCCTATGTTTCTTTAATCCTATTTTTCATCTTCCCTCATTCACCAATCTGTCATATTGAGTTACTTTTTTTTCAAGTATATAGCTTCACTCCTCCTTGATTTCCACTTCTCTTTCCTTATTTTGTAGATTTTATTACAAAAGCGTTTTCTAACAGAGAATTAAAAGAAAGTAGAGTAGACACAAAGGGGGCACTGTATAGTTGCGCACATCTTACTCCGCCTTCAATTTTCAAAGTAGGCTAGACAAAAGTCCTCCTTTCTGCACTACTTGTCTGATTTGCTGGTTGGGTACTTGTATTGTCTCACAGTAAATTATGTCGAATCGGGTAAATTATGACCCAACAATTTGGATTCTTCCTGTGTTTTTCTGTCTAAGTCTTTATTTTTCATAATAAATAAATCAATAAAATATATTATCATTCCCAAAGTTTTTTTGGAGAGGGGGGGAGGGGAGGACGTGTCTTCCCTGGCGTTCAGGAGAAAAACGGCATTCCTTAAACAGATGGAACTCTAGATATGAATTCGAGAAACTCAGACGCAAACGCTTTGCCCTCTCATTTTCCCCTTATTTTTCTTAGATAGCACCCACATCCAAGGAGGATGGATTTTTTCAAGAAGAAAAAACAAAAAATAAAAGTCTTTGCATTATGACTAACAAAATCCCTGACAACTCAGCAATCCATTCTCGGATCATTGATCAATGATACAAATGATAAATTTTTCGCCTTTGATGATGCACACAATTTAGGAATTCAAAGAAAACAAATAATCCGCAATCATGGACATATTATGGACTAGTTGATTCAAATCATACAAAAATCACCAATAAGCAGGGCCGGATTTACCTCCTTGCCGCCCATGGGCCGCCTGTATTTTTCCGTCCCCTTCTCATTCATTTTGAAACATCAATAGATCGTACTCGACAGTGGTTTGATGTATCGTTTGGTTCAAAACAATAGAACATAACCTCAACCAAAATTTTAGGATTTAATTCGGAGAAGCTGAAAATGATAAAATTCCTAACAATTTCACTTTTCATTGCCATTTGGTACTCGAGAGAATAAAAATTCGATCACATAACACCCGTTACCTCAGATTTCTAAATTGACTTTTGAGGCTGTGGTCACATATTAAACCAATCGATATCAATATAATCTCACCTGTGTGATCTATCGAATACGATCTATAAAAACCATCAAGTGAACTGAACGTGGAGGATGGGTGTATGAGACGCGTTTACTCGTGTTGGGCACATTTTTTGTGAAAGCCATGTTAACACTAACAAAAGTTCAGTTCCGTAAATTCATCCCTGTTTAAACAAGGTCTTCCATTTATAAAAAACGAACGAAAGAATTATGAAAGAACAAACATAAATGTGGTTAATAATTTAAATTTCCGACCGCACTAACCTGAACGACCGCACTATGTTGGCGCAATGCGTGAAGTATTCATGCAGTCTTGTAGGCGCTATGCGTTTCGAGCCGACTGCTGACCGCAGTGTGTTTGACGCAATGCGTGAAGTATTCATGAAGTCTTGTAGGCGCTATGCGTTTCATACCGACCGCCGCGCCGCTCCAGTCAAATTGCGTGTTTGGTTTCTCTCTTAACTCGACTAATTAAAGGTGTTGTCTCTTTTATCACCGAAAGACGACAAAATTAGAAGTTACTATACTTTTACTCTCAGGAAATGAAAGATTTTGTCGCCTTTTCTCGTTTGTAATTTATTTTCTGAATCCAATTTTTTTCTCTCTTTTTTTGATACTTACATTCAAAAAGATTGCAAAATTTTCCGCCCCCTACATTTTGCCGCCATGGGCCGCGGCCCATATGGCCACTCCCTTAATCCGGCCCTGCCAATAAGTGGAAGCAGTTTTTATTTTTTTAAAAACAGACGTGCTGGAAATATAGAATGTATCGTACAAATAATAATCGATAACAAACCTGAGTTGATTCCATGAGCTATTCGGTCCGTGGGATCCACCCACCAAATCGGCGTGTTAACTGGTTGGCCGGTTTCCACTGTTTTTCTCATTAACGAAATTATCGTATCAACATACTCGTAGCGCAAAGCCATGAATTTTTTGGTCAGCTCAATGGTCTGTAAGCAAATCGCATCAAAATATTAAGAGCATCGATCGAGAAATCTTCAAATATGATTCCATAATTATTCCAAAAGATTCAAGAGGAATCGGCACTAAATGGGTATTTAGTTGTTGCAACAGCGAGCTATTTCTCGTTACCGCTTATCATTTATGTCTGGCATATTATAAAATATGTAGATATAGATTAGTGTCCGCTCTCGGCTCTATCCTTTAACTTTCGTAGATTTCAACCTCGCAAAAGGAATTCGATCAGTTCATTAAACCCGCATTTTTGGAGAGCTAAAATGAATGTTCATCTAATGGGATCTAAAATAGTTAATAATACCTACGTGCCATAGCTCTTCAGCAGAGTACCCAAGTAGCACAATTAAGTTGCAATAAATTGCGATTAGAAAAGTACTTACATTTTGCTACTGCATCGGAATGTTGTGTATGTTGTTTATCTACTAATTGAAGGGGCTTCTCTAATTGAAATTTATTGCGATGTAACTCGAAAAAGTTGCACTTTTTCTTTGGATTTTAAATTTTTTATCTTTCTGAAAAAAACTCGTTTCATTCATCTTTTCAAATCGGCATTTCCTGATCAAATGATGTAATAGGATATGTATTCATTGTAATTTCATAGTGAAAAAAGACATTAAATTGCAATTTTATTTTAACATTGACGTTATGTGTTACTCGAAAGCAAGGTACCTAACGCAGTCCTTTTCGAATAAACTGTCTATTAATCCAACAGCAGAATTCATGGAAAAGGATGTTAAACTAACCTCAGCATCGAAATCCCAAGGAGGGGTTGAAAACTGAACGGCCGGTAGGAAGACATTGACTTGCAGGAATCGGATGAACAATTCCTTGCTGATTTTCTCATCGCGGTAGGCGTTGCCTCCAACCATATCAGGCAAAACGAAAGGATATCCATTCAAGTTCATTTGCAGTGTGGTCGTGATAACAGTGTGTATGCCCAAAGGCTCATCTCCCCATTTCGAGTCCCTGTCCACCATGCGAACGAAAACGGGAAGGTGCTGGGTGCCTCTTCCCGTGCGAACTTCGATCTGCCGACCGAATTTAGCGGCGAACTCAACATATTTTCGGGTGATCAACTCCGGCTGCTCCGCCTCCGGACCATTCAGATCAGTGACTTGCGGAGACCAACTACTTTCGCCGGCATCGAATTTAAAGGAATCGATCCCACCCTCTGATAATACATTCTTCAATCGTTTTTCGAACCAATCCGCCGCGGCTGGGTTTCGAAAGTCGACGTAGCCCGCTCGAAGACCGTTCCACCAGGTGGTTGTGGTGTTCCCCTCTGTGTTTCTCACGAGATAGCCTTTATCTGCAGCCTCCTTGTGCGTTTCGCAGTCGGCGTTGATGAAAGGATGAACCCATATCGTGGTCCTGAAACCCATTTGATTCAACTTGGAGGTCAGCCGTTTCATGTTGGGAAAGGTCGTTTCGTTGAAGGATAAACTCCCGTAGCACGTTTCCCAAAAGTCGTCGATCTCAAGCTGACTATTGTTGAAGCCATTGTTCCGGATATTTGTGGCGTATTCCAGGACCACTTCCTCGTCGATCTTCGTCTTGTATTTTGCCCACGTTGACCAGATGGGATCTCTTATCATTCTTTCATCCGGGATACCCGACGGTTTCCCGAGGAACTTTCTGATCGCGAATTCATGAGCCACACGGGGGTTCTCAAACTTACACAACGTGTATTTCAGGACGATTTCCTTGCTTCTGAAGTAAGGTGGAGCGTTTTTGGCGAGCAGACAGAACGAGTCCTTCCTATGGTGGTTTTGGTCGATGAACAGTGGTACACTTTGGTTGACGTATATCAAGAGACCCTCTGAATTCAACCAGTAAGGCTCGCATATGGCTTGGTCGTAGATGGCTTTGGTGACGTATGAGTTTGTCTGAAATGTGGCCCCTTCTAGCGGCAAACGTTGGGTTGAGTTCTCCGGTCCTCCGAACCAATTATGAGGTGACAACTGGAAACAATCCTCGAGTGCATGATGGTTATCAGAGGAAATCCAGTTGACCTCCATGCATTTCTCCTCTCCTTCGGTGTGTTTTAGCTCCAGAGTGGTGTGCTCTCCAAATTTGACTTTGTTCTCACCGATATTTTTAGCATCGCTGGGTTTCATATCATAATTTATTAGCTGGACTCCAAGCTCAAACGGGTATTGTTTTTTCCCTGAAAAAAAGGTAATAATGAAAGCTGCGTTTAGAAACTCTAAATGATACATTTTCTGTTGATTTTTCCGAAGAAAACGCAAAATTTCAAGATAAACCGTATTCCGTAGTGAAAGGTCTAAGAATGAACTACTATTTCGTTTTACCTAATTCTTACTTTGTCCAGTATCAGTCTATCTGCAATACATCGTTTGTGACATGGTCAGATCCACAGATATCATGACAAAAATGAGAAAATGTATACTTTCCGAATAGATGACTATTCGCGATCCTCAAAATGTTCGTTGCCTATCCAAGTAAATTGAAGGCGAACTTCAAGAGAACATCTCGAGCAAACTATTCCTGTCTCTAGATGGAACAACAGGAAACAGAACGCTTCCAGAACGTTTAGACGCCCCTTTTCTTTTGTATTATAATTGAAAGTTCTTCAATTTTAAAGCTTGAATACTGAGACTTACTGCCTGGTGGGCGTATCTCGCTCTCCTTGGTTTGGATACCTTTACCTAAACTAATGGGGACGCAATCTCGGCGTATCCTAACATTCTTTCATCCCATCCCTCTCTTCACCATATTTCTTGTGTACCTCTTCTTCATTCTTAATTCACTCTCTAGCAAACTGTTTTGGTTAATTCAGGTGTTACAAAATTAAGAAGAGTGGAACTCTGAGATAAACCCTTAGATTCCCGAATCGGGTCAAATTGACTCGAGACGTGCCAAAAACACGTGCCCCGCGCGCGGGTTTTATGGGCCCGGTACAATACAGGTTTTAAATGTAGGTCTAGAAGTACATCAAATTGGGGTAAGCACAGTCAAGGATAGAGGAGACATAATCGGGCATCGTTTTTCAATTTGTCTCTATAATTTGAGCAACACCTCATTGGTAGCATAGAGCGGAGCATTGCAAATTCACGCGCCTCGCGCTAGCGCGCCTTCAATATTGCAGACGCAACACGGACATCCATCAAGCACGAATAGTCGTATCTCTGCGCCGTCAGCAACGCACGCCCTTTCCCTTGCTCTATTTTCATATGCATGTGTTTGTTCCGTTTGTCTTTTTTGCAGTGGTGCATCAAGGGCCACATGAGCAACACGGCCGAAGATAAGAGGGACGTAATCGGGTCTCGTTTTCAAACTTTTCTCCCGAATCTTATTATTAGTGACATTTCATTGGCAGCACAGAGCAGGACATTGCGAGTTCACGCTCGTGCCATGGCATGGCGCCTTCAATTATTCACATGCAGCATCGACATCAGTCAAGCACGAATAGTTGTATCTCTGCGCCGTCATCAGCGAGTGTTGACGTATCTCTTATTTTTAATACTTGAGAAATGTTCGTGTTACAGCTCAACATATGCCGCTATGTGACTAGTTCAATGTTGCAGATGGTGGATGTGGGAGTGGTGAGAAAGTGCCAGTATGTTACAAAGAAAGTAGACTTTTTTTCCTTAAACAAATGGGAGTTTTCACCTTCAAAAACATATGAATATCATGGGCAATACTTTAATAACTATCAAAATCAATATTTTTAAATATTCGAGTCAACTTGACCTGACATGGGATATTGCGTATAAAAATAGTCTTGATCTAAGGGTTGAAAAGGAAAAGAAAAGAGGAAAAGCAGCGGAATATTTCAGAAAATCCGATCGGAAATTCAATTTCGCCAAAGTGAAGTATACCTCGAATGATCTTCACACGACACTATTGTTCTAGTTAAACGTAATCTACCGTAACTTAAGATATTCTATATCGACGGTGACAGTCCGCAACCAAGTATTTCAGTTTCCGACGTTGCAAATCTTCTGTGATACTATATTTATTTCATAGAAAACAACTCAACGTCAATTCTCAAAAACTGCTGTGATTTTTCATCTCTGTGAAAAATAAAGCTATGAACCCTTCCAGGAATGATGTCCATTTGCTCTCCTTTAAAAAAATACATGAGGAGCGGAGGTTTTCAAAGATCGCAAACGAGCTACGTGGTTGCGGGCTCACAGGTCGATGTGCTGTTTTCCGAATGCTTGTTGAATACAATACAATCTGAAATAATTATGCAAGGCGTCTAGAATAGATCGGCCTTCTAGATAAATATATAGAAGGATAGCCGATAGGCAGCGCGCTGCCCTCTGTAAGCAAGCTTTTTTCGCTGATTTTTTCAACCTAGTTCGTGAGTGCAATTTATTGAATTTCTTAAATTGTCTACGGAAAATAGCCATTTATCACACTTACAATAAAAATATACAAAATACTAGGGACAACTGTTAAAAAATTATTTAAAATAATTACTCATGCATTTTAAATTACCATGCACCTTTTTTTTTTTTAAAAAAAACCGGTTAAAATGTGTGTTTTAGGAAAACTTTTTGGATATTTTTTAAAGTAAAATTTACCAGAGACAAAATTTTAAGAAAATGTCAAAAAACTATAAAAAAACCTACTTTGGTTTTTAACTCATTAAATGTTTGAAATGATGTAGAAAAACTATTTCAACAATTTTTTTTTTTACTTTTTCATATCCGACTTTAATCGACGTAAATTTCTTCGAAGCAATACTCAAAAAAGGTACCTTAAACCACAATTTTTGACAACTTTTTAATTGTGTTTGTAAGGTGCTTCGGAACGCTCGCTATCCTAAGGAGGGGATTCATAACAAAAAAATCATGAGGAAGCAACCTGTTTTTTCTCGCTCTTGCTCTCCCTCGCCAAGGGAGGCTGATACATCGAAACCTGCGAGCAAGGATTCATCCTCCACCTTTACTTTGAAATTCCCCAGATCAATTTTAAACGACTGTGGAAGAGCGGAGAGAGCCGAATGGACTGCAACCAATATCACAAAAACTCCGACGTAACCGGTGCCCCAAGCCATGGTCATAAAGTCACGATAGTGTGGAGAGGGATTTAACTCCCTTATCGTATGGGAGAGAGGTAACGAAGATAATACTGGTTAGGTATATTTTAGACTCTAGCCATGCGTAAACCAGATCACATCAGCGTTTCTCTGGATCAGAGAAGGAGTCCGAGGCACACTAGACAAGAAAGAATGTACATTCGCGCCAACACAGAAAACCATACGGTTAGGATATTTCGAGCACGTCAAAAAATGAGGACATCCCGGTTTTTAAAAAGGGGAAAAACGCAGACAAAATGAAAGCTTTAGAAATTCACTTGAACCTGAGCTCGGTTCGTTTCACGAATCGGTGCCGACTGGTTCGTCGACGGCGGTAAACACGGCGCTGAACACTAGTACAGTATTCGATGATGAGGAAAAAAAGAAAGACGTTAACGTACGCTGTCGCGTCGCACAGTGGATCCAGTCAACTAGAGAGGTTGGACATGACGTTTTTAACAAAAAAATGCGAATTTTAATGTTTAAGTCATCACATTTTAAATTTTAAGGGGTGTTTCTATAAGGAAATTTCAAGGGAAACCCGATAGAACCACTTTTAGAATCTCAAATTTCCGTATGGACGGAGTTATATGCGTCTAAAGTTACCAAATTTTGTCCGAGCTCTCCTATTGAGTCGATCCACTGTGCGTCGTCGCATCTCGTCAGCCGTCGCGCGTCGCGTCGCATCGGGACTCGTAATCTCATGCAAAACCGAGAAACGCTTGACCCTCCTGATTGCCTCTTTTCACTCATTCGCTTCATTATTTGTTCATTTCAGAGGGAGCCACGCGCCTCTCTGTTTATTTTGAAATAGTCGTGATTAGACCTCAACACTTGTGTCCAATAAAAACTCAAGTGGTCATTCATTCAGTCATCTTGCGACACATGCACTTAGCCCATATTGACGGAAAGATTAAAATACCTACATATTTATTTTAAATTAAGAGAACCTATTCAAATTAATGCACGTGTCTTTGTTATAGGTACTAACTGGACGATGTACATACAATAATACCATACTTCTGAAACCCTTTGCCTCCCTCAGTTTAAAAATCTAAATTTTTGTACATACACCCATCTTCCAAATTCTTTGTAAAGACGTTAATAGCCCAATATGCTGAATGTCTTTAAAGAAATTAACTAACTAACTAATTGTTGTACTTACATCGTCCAGTTAGTATAACTTTATTATCTTAAATGGGGGAGGAGGGACGGAGGAGAGGGTGCAAATGAACAATCCGCACCCTTAGAATTTTTGGTGATCATGTTAGGCCATGTTTGCAGTAAAACGGGAATTTTTAACAAAAAGTCGAAGCTTGTGCTGTCAAAAAATTCAACACAGATAGACAGAGTGACAAAAAGCGTACCGACGATACCATTTTTTGTCATCATCCTTTGATTCTGAATGCAATCGAATGTATCATCCTGCCAGAAATGTTGTGTTAATCTTAAGGCTTTGAGTGTAGAGAGTATACACAAGGTTTGTGTTCATACCTCTGGATTTCTGAGCGTGTGCGCTGCGAGGGTGGAAGGAGAAAGGGGTGAATTCCTCTCAAGAAGAGGGGGCCTCTCAGAAATTTTTGAAACATTAAATTGATTAAGGGTGCGGCTGTTCCTGAAGAGTACGGGTTCGATCGGAAAAAAAAAAACTTCAACCGATCGAGATTATTAGACATTACAATTTAGACAATTCGACGGTGAAAGTCGGCAATCACATAACTCGTTTGCGGTGTCTGGAAATCTCCGCCTCCACGTCATTTTTTTAAAGGGGAACAAATTGACATTATTTCTTGAAGTTTTTGCAGAATTTCCTTTGCATTGATAAGAAAAATCATGACAGTTTTAAAGAATTTCCGTTGAGTAGTTTTCCATTTAAAAAATAAAGTATGTCAGGAAGTCTGCGACGTCGCAAACCGAGTTATGTGATTGCAGACTTACACCGTCGAATTAGACAATCATGGCTCGCTTATCACATTTCTAATACACCATACTATGTTTTCTTCGTTTGATTTGTCATCAGTCAAATGTTTAGCACTTTTTGCATGAAAAGTCTCATCCTTTGCTCATATTCTGCAGGTAGGTGCCTACCTCAGGCATTTTTCCTATTTCACGAAGCAAATCAAAACCCCGTGATCGTCGAATATTTCACACACCTTTGAGCCGAGGCCAGAATTTTTGTTAAGTTACGTTTCTTTGACTTTGCCGCATGCATGATTATTTCACAAATAAAATAAATTTTAGAGGAAAATCCCTTGACTGACACTTTCCACCTCTGGTTTTCTCCTCCACTTCGGGTTTTCGCTCCCTATTTCCAGGATATACTTTTCATTCACCTTCAACTCGTCGTAGTCTTAACTTCCACTTCCGGTTTTCACTGTTGGCTCCCACTTTTCACTCCCCACTTCCGGTTTTCACTAAAATACCCGGCTTCACATTTTGCTGTCCCCGCACTATCCGAAATTCCCGTTTTATAATACTTATACCTTCCTCCCATGTAAATCTTCTACGTCCCCTTTCCTCTCCCCTGACCGCGGAAATCCCTTTATAACGTTTAAGCCCCCTCAACTATGAACAAATAATTTATGAGAGTTAACCCAACTCACATCCAAAAGTGCGAAGAAATGTTGGATTCATTTTTACGGCATGAGTGTATTTCCCGCCGCGCGCTGCTCGGTAAGTGCAATAGCCAATCAGCATTTAGCGCGGTTGATTTCCCGCCACGCGCCACTTATTAAGTGCAACGGCCAATCAGCGTTAAGCGCGACTTTGGTCTATGGCTAATGTTTTGATTCTGATTCCTAACCTACAAACAACAACGAAAGACGAGTGTAATTAGTTTAATTATGTAATTCTTTCTTTGTGCTAATTCAGCCTGTGTTTGTGTTTGGTATGCATGAGCTTTCAAAAGTAATATCCTCAGTTTCATGAGGTGTTTAGTGAAATTTTCTCACAGACCACGCTCCCCGTTAAAGTCAATAATTTAATCTGCCTTCCCAGTGTGTGTCCCCTGTTCTTGATAGTTTCTTTTGTCAACAGTCGATCTGAAGAACAGAGGCCCTCGGTGTTTCTGCCACCTGCTCCATTACATCATTTCGTCCAGTTTTGACGAAAGCTCACTTTTCTCGATCTACCTCCAATATAATCATTCTTCCTTGATCCATTAATGTATCATGGATTATCGCGTTTGTCTGGCTCTGCTAAGTCTACTCTTCACCAAGCTTTTACCGTTAGTTCTATGCCAAACTATCGATCCTTTTGATATGCGAGATTATGATCGTAAAACAAAAACGATGAAAAGCACTAGTAACATGCTCTCACTGGTTGATCAAGATCAACAGCAATGCGCTGACTGCCTCAGGTTTATTCAAGAGTACTGTGAGACTAGTGTAGCGAACGAACTTCAGACTCATCCTTCTGTTGCAATGAAGGCATCTGATATGCCACATGATGAAATGTTCCGAACTCACATGATGCGATTGATCAATGTGTTGCTGAATAAATCAGGATTTAAAGTAAGTCCATACATGTTTCAGTAGTAATCGTCTTTATTGTGCCCTATCAATGTGACACAAGCAGAAGCATAAAGAGGATGAAAGCTTGACTATTTTCAACTTGTGAAAATTCAAGACATTTTTTTGTACTTTTGCTGAACTTGCCTCAGATTAGTCGACTGTTTCGTGCTTTATATTGTAATGCGCACCTGACAAATTTTCGTATAGAAGCACAGTAGGTAGAGGTGTCGTCGGCTAAGGTAACGGTTGTTTACTTTCGGTTTGCAAGCGTTTTCGCATCACTACAATCCACCTGAAAACATCCGACTCTTGCAGAAGCAAGAACACAAGCTTAGATAAGTTTTTAATACTTCCACACCTTGTACTTAACACTTTCATTTTTAGCCACACAGAAATCACAAACACATGAAAGTCGCGAATCATAACTTATAAGTAATATTTTTTCAATACAATCATGAGACGTATGTTTTCAAGGGGGATAATCATTATTATAGCATTACAATAACTGATTATAATAACCAAAAGTGAACAACCGTCAACTTGGCTGAGCCGACCTTCCTATCTTGAAAACCTCTTATTTTGGCTCTCTCATTCTTTCATTCAGGGTGTCTACAAGTCTTAAAAGTCTGGAAATAGTACTGATTTTTTAAGGGCGGTTCGGGAGTACTTACTGAAAAAGTGCGGAAATTTCACCAGAAGGTTTGGAATTCGTTCAATGTCTTTAGCAAGCATGAAATTAAAATTTTTGAAATTTGTTTAACTTCGTCAAATTGAGGTATTGAAAAAGTACTGAAATTCTCTGTTGAAGAGGTATTTACTGAATTTTTTGGGGATGTACTGAAAAAGTACTGTGTAAGTACTGATTTTTGGCCAGCTTGTCCTAGTAGACACCCTGTCATGCAACTACATATTAGACTTTCGTCTGGAAGTTTTTACACTCTTCAGACAAAGGAGAAAAGTTGAGTTCAATTATTAAGTGTCATCCACTGTCATAGAACATCTCTATTTCACATTTTAAGTAGGTAAATTTTCTGTGATAACTATTTTAACGCAAACTTCAAGTGTTAATTTTACAATTTCAGGAATCAAAAAAAGGGTCCAAAGATCAAGAATCATTGTTGTCTGTGAAGCTCAGTCCAAACCAAGTGTCAATCTTAAAAGATTTTGGACGGTCTGGAAACCCTGCTGTCTTACGAGATGTTAATGATATTTTATCCGCCCAAGTAACTTCTTACTATCCACCAATTTGTGCTGACGACATGTTTCAAAAAATCTACGGAGCCAAAGAATTTTTCTCCCAAAGTGTAAGTTCTTTTTGATTTTTTACCTTTCAGTGGATCTCTATCTGGAGTCTTTAATTTCGGTATTATTGCATACCCTGGCTGATACCATCTAAGTAATTGACAGTCAAATTATCCATCTGATTTTTCAAAAATTTTACTCTATTTTTACAGTCAATAGGATACAGGGGCTTGAAGGCAAATAACTTTACTTGTCCAATGAGAGCCCTCCAATAGGAATTGGGCTGTTGCCAGATCGAAGAATTGCCTTGATAAAAGGTGTTTTGGAGGTAAATTTCAGCAGGAAGCACGTTTCTGAGCTTGAACCCTTTTACTACCTGGCTAGATTCTACTTGTGCATGCCCCATAGCGGAGATCAATTTTCATGGAAATAAATTTAAGTGCATTCTATTGGGCAGTGTCTAAAGTCATACTTCAGATCCTCCTTGACAAGAATAGCTAAAATTGTGAATACTTCTGAGTTGAAGCTGTTGAGTAATGGCAGGAATGTTGCGAGAAGCACACAGTTTCGCTGAACGGCGATGCCGGGTTCATTGTAAAGAGAGCGGAAAAGAGCTCAAAGTAGTTTTTGTCACTAAAAAAGACCAAAGAGGCATATTTCATCGAAATCCTCCCAATTCAATTGATATCTCTCTTTAACTTTTCATCTTGTTTTGATTTCTTTCAGACTCTCATTATTTTGGGTATTATTTTCATGGCTGGGGCATTTTTCTACAATGTTTTTGTGCTGAAGCAAATCAGATTGGCTTTCTTATGTCTCCTTGCAACGATATTTTTTACCGGATACTTTTGGACCTACTGGAAATTGTATGAAGTAAGTGGAGATTGTGTCTAAAACCATGTAAATTATCTAAAATATTGCGCCGATTATTATTGGATGATTTATGGGAAGGGCCGCGGCGGGTTTCGGAAAAGGAAGATAATCCAAATCTCAAAAAGATTGAAAAGTGTCATTTCAAGCTCTGTTTATAGCCAGAAAGCACAAGCTTGGCCAATTCACCATCATCGTATTTGTAAAACGCTCTTAGTCCTTGGAAAAAACAAATAAATGTTCGCATATATTCAATTTTTGCCCCAAAAAAACGGTTTTTGTTGTGCTGGCTTAGCATCAAATATACTTAAAAATATTTAGTGCCTCGCATTTTGTTCTCGTGAATTACTAGTTTTTTTATAACCACTTAAGTACCACTGTTGTTTTGTTCAACTAAAGTTTGGAATTTCTCATTCCTTTCTGCTGTTGAAATTACAGCAGCTCCTACCCTTTCTGTAGTGAGTACATATCTGCCTATTTTTAAACCTAAGGACCAGCTTATTTTGGGCTGTCGGATGATTTTCTATATTTTCCACACCTCTGCACATCTATCCTCCCCTTCCTAAAATATTTATTGATGTTTCATTTTTTTCAGGAAGTAATGTCTGACATTAGGAGAATAACAACTCATCATGATATGAGCGACTGCATTCCTCGCACTGAAACTTTTTGGTGGTTCTTTACCTACAGTAAGTATTGTTTTGTTTCTTTCTTTCTATCTGTGCTCTGGTTCTCATGTCCTCCCGTTCTTACTCTCATGATTTAGCGGAAAGTTGAAAGATTATGAAAAGGTATGAAACGAAAGAAAGTGTTAGCATTTTTGGCATCTTGGAAAAAGGTTGATAAGATTAGTGAGTGCAATCATTTTTATTATTGATTCTCTCTGGAAAGGTTTGATTTACGGGAAAAAGTCTAACTACGAAAAGTGTCTAAAGTAAAAATTTGAGTTGTTTGATCTTTTCACTGTGATTTATGTGAAAATCAGATGAGAAAACCAATAAGTTGATGTGGAATATCTTATTTTGTCTTGTGGTCCATTAAGCCAAAACAGTAAGCATTATGGCCCGATTTCCATTTTTTAAATTTCTAAATTTGCAGGATTGTTGATGAGGTGCCATACTGTATCCACCTTCGTGTCAGTGCAAACAAATCAGAAACTGCTCTTACAAGAGGAACTTACGAACCTGCCGCCTCTGATTGGGCTGAATTTTTTCTTACAGACTCTATGGACCAAGTCTGGAGGTCAATTTGAGCCGTTTTCCCGAATGCGCAATAGGGAGGGTGTAAAAAATTCCCAAAAGTTGCGTTTTCAGCGTGTGATTTGGTCGTGCGGCGCGTGGCAACACTGAAACAGCCTCTTGTACCACTTTATCGGCCCAGCAGTGTCAGTGGAGACTGGAGCCTTACTGCACAGGTGCTGGCCCCATGATAGGGGAGTCCCGGGTTCGGTCCCCGAATGAAGTGACTACTTTTTATTTTCCGCATGATAACGTAACATTTTATTTTTAATTCTTCATCCGTATTTATAAATCAAGCAGTTCCGATCACTATCCCCCCCCTTATTTTACGTACATTTTCCCCCAATATTTATTCACATTGACCGCCAATAACCGTATGAAACTTCATTGACATAAATTAATGAATTAAAAAGCAAAAGAAAACCTTATTTGTTACTACATTATCTCCCAATGTTTTCCTGGAAAAATATGTAATGTGTAAATAAATCGAAGAGCAACCCCAAACCCATGTGCATGCAAGGGCTGCCAAGAAACACATTATTTTGGCCCTTTGCTTTTTAATTCATTAATTTATGTCAATGAAGTTTCATACGGTTATTGGAAGTCAATGTTAATGAATATCGAGGGAAAATGTACGTAAAATAAGGGGGGGGGGATAGTGATCGGAACTGCTTGATTTATAAATGCGGATGAAGAATTAAAAATATAATGTAACGTTATCATGCGGAAAATAAAAAGTAGACGATCCACTCGGGGATCGAACCCGGTACCTTCCTATCATGGGGCCAGCACCTGTGCAGTAGGGCTCTGGTCTCCACCGACACTGCTGGGCCGATAAAGTGGTACAAGAGGCTGCGTCAGTGTTGCCACGCGCCGCACGACCAAATCACACGCCGAAAACGCAACTTTTGGGAATTTTTTACGCCCTCCCTATTGCGCATTCGGGAAAACGGCTCAAATTGACCTCTAGACTTGGTCCATAGAGCCTGTTAAAAAAAATTCAGCCCAATCGGAGGCAGCAGGTTCGTAAGTTCCCCTTGTTAGCTTCTTTCTCTTCTATACCCGTAATGATTTTAACAGCTTTTAGATTGAAACAAGGGAGGATATTTGAACATGATACAATCGCAATTACTACAGAGCAGAATAGTAGGGTCCTCTCATTTTTTGTATTATATTAGATCTAAAGTCTAGAGTCTAATAATACTTGTCCCTAAACAACTTCAAACTCTAAGGCAAAACTACAAACATCCTTCAAAATATGAAGAATTTTCAATTAATATTAGCTAAATCTACCTGAGTCCTTCTCCATTAAATCTAATTGAAGATCATGGCAATCAAAACAGACACCCAATCAAAACGTTTATTTTGTGGATGATTGAAATCAGGTCTGTTGGAAGTCTTTTTGTATTGTTGCAAGTTTGATCAGCAACAGGGTAGTTGTTCGTCACCAGCATTATTTAAGGTAATTCTAAGTGATCTAGGGACAAGATTCGCCATTTTTTTGCTCTACCACTCAGTCTATGTCTTAGAAAAGCAACAATTATCGCAATGTGCAAATTAATGCCAGAAACTGATTTATGAAGTGTAACAGCATTGACAGGAGCTGTATGATATCAAATTTGTGAGGACTCATTGAAAATTTATATTGGAAACTGCCCTAACAGACTCTGCTCCTTGACTGAATGCAAAAAAGATAAATTTTATAACGCCATCTCTCTCTTACACATTGAGCCAATAAGCAATGTCCGTTTTAGTAATTTCTGCCAATAATAATGCTGCTACACGTTATGGATTAGTTTCTTGCATTAGCTTGTGCATTATGAAAATTATTGCTTCCCTCAGACACAAACTGTGTAGCATCCCAATGTAAGGGCAGGTTTACTCCTTGAACACTTAGAATCACCTTAAGGTGCACCTAGAACTTTTTCAAAGGAATGTTTAGTTAGATCAGAATTTATGCATCGATTTTTGCAATCTTAAATTTCAATGTTACTGGCTTTTATTTTTAGCTTGTTAATGTATCATATTTTTTATTTCTAACCTATGTCACACTCTCTCACGCTGTCCTAAATGGCACAAATTTCTCCTTCCCTGTAGCGACTCCTGCGGATGATCGTAAATGCAAAGAACTATACGATGCCAAGCATATTACGCCTCTTTCCAGACTGACTCCTACAATAGTTTTCTTCGAAACGATAAAAATATTTTGGACTGGTCCAATGAGCGAAATTGCAAGTGTCACTGTCTCTCTGTACAAAGAACTGTCGTGTAAGTTCCTGATTATTTAGTTGTAATATTTTCAAGTCAGTTATTCATCAGTTTTTATTCAAACAAATGAAACATGAACAGGGATTTGTAAGTTCTGTACTGGAGTTACATGTTCTGAGAGTGTAGCTGAAGGAAATTTGATCTTGAGTGCAAGATCTGCTGAGATTAACAGTGGCATCACATAGACATTTGCCAAGAATGTATGTGTGTGATTCAATGGAATGATGACAGTCTCCTGATAGTCAAAATTTCGTTCACCATAGAACCAAACTACCTGTAATATTTCTTGTTTATATATGTTTGAGGTTAGGATTGCACATAACTGCATTCAATGACCACCTTTAAGTCACATTCCACTGAATTGCAATGAGGAATCGGAATCAAAATGTAAAAGTAATGCGTTCCAGTGTAGTCTGGCTTATATGAATAAAGCCCCTTGGTCTACTTGTTTAGAGATGAAGTACCCAGTTTAATTTCTTATTCCTCTATAGTGAACTTACTGTTTGATCATCATTCTTTCTCTTTTCAGATTACGCTCCATGGTACATCAAATGGACTGTGCTTCCAATCGTTTTCATTTTTGTGGGTGTAATCTTCATCCTACTCGCTGCACTATTAAGCGGAAAAAGGTTCAAATTGTCTCATCCAATATTTGGAGCCATAGATTTAGGTAATGATGTCAGTTATCAGCAGCAAACAAGCATTAAAAGCGAGACTGCTTTTAAAGTGGTGAAATGCGAAGATGGATCTGACCCAAAATTAAGCTGTTTGACTTGTGGGGCAAGTTGGTCTCAAACAGCAGCAGTTATAACCACTCGAACTGTTGTGGAAGGAAATGTAAAGACTGACTCAGTTGATGGTGCTCCAATTGGTATTTCAACTGGAACTGGTTTGATTGCCGTACTCCAAAATATGAGTCGCTTCTTATTGCGCCAGCAACGGCCAATCAGGGAAGTAGCATTATTACCAGTTAGACCTTGTATCAAGTCAAAACCTGATGGTGAGACCATTTTTACAAATGAAGGGCTCCAAAGTTTAACTGAAGATCAAGATAACCTAGTTACTCTGGAAGATTGCTCTGATAGTGACGGTGAAGACAAAGAAAATAGAATTAAAATTACAAGTAATGCAGATTTTTATAATCTACCGGAAAGTGATGAACCAATAATGAGGTGTTCAAGACAACAGAACAACATTGTCTTAAATGCTGACAACAGAGTATTATCAGCACCATTGCCCAGTACTAGTTTGGGACCCAAACAAAAATTCTTTGACAATATTAAGTTTACTCGATCTCCAGATCCCCAAGAAAAAAAATTAATTCCTATTCTTGTTCAGCCCCGCATTCCCATGGAAGGATCTGGTGAGCCGTTTGCCTCATGTGGAGGATCTGGCGAGCCATCTCCAGTCAGAGTAGGAAGTCCCCTAGGAGAAACTTTAAGACATAATGACGGATATTTTGCCGAAAGTAATCGAAGAATAAGAAAAGAGCTTCGCTTTCGACATATGTCAGCCAAGTTATATTCCCCGCCCTCTAAAGATGATATTAAAGTAGTTGAATCCGTATTTTTAAGCAAATTTAGGAAAGAAGAAAAGAAGAGAAAATTATCCATTTGAATTTTTTTGATTTTATGACCTCATTGAGTACTCTTTTTAACAGCATCAGACTTTCTTCTGTACTACCTTTTCTAAAGAAAGTTAAGCATCAAGCTCCAAGTTTTAATTTTTATCTATCATCGATTGAATTCTTAGCCTGTTTAAATGTTCCACTATCATATCACTTGAGTTAAATTGCCTTCTAGTACTTATTTCCAAGTTAGTTATTAAATATTATATCTGTGATCATTGATTGATAAAATTCTTGAAAGAACTTATAGGGGTGCAGGAAGTTCTAAGCTTTCTGCTTCCCCTAAATTTAATCAGTCTTCCCCTATTTTAACCAAAATCCATGATCCTTTCCCTCCATGAGAAATCTTTTGCCCAAGAAATCGGACTTTTTTCACTGCTGTGAAGCTGTATTTTGCAAGAGTTTCCCTAACTTTGTCCTATTTTATGGGGGTTCCCCTTATTTTTCCTATTTTATGGAGGTTCTCCTCATTTTGTCCTATTTTATGGGGGTTCCCCTGTTTTTTCCTGTTCTTGCAGAGTCTCCCTCATTCTACATAACTGGGTCAGTTGCATAGTCAGGAAGTTTATGCACCCAGGTGAGCACTTTTCTCTTGAAAGAAAAACACTGATCATATTAGTTAAAGTTAACCGAAAAAACTCATAAGAGACTGAAATTGTTTTTAATGAGTAGTGTACTTACCATTTTCTGTGGGCCTGCTCAAATCAGAAGTGCCTTTTTTAAGGAAACCCTAGGACGTAGCTGCTTTTTTTACTGGCACTCTTCTTTTTCGTGAGCATTTTATTAGAAATATTAGATGCTTAATTTTTTATTGTGTATTTTCCTATATGTTCTTGCAATGCACAGGCGCTTAAAAGAAACTAATCTCTATCATGCGAAAACTTTCAATAAAAATAATACAAACTCTCTCGCACATCATATTATTATTATTATGGCATTGTCAGCATTTGCCATCTCAATAATTTTATATGCAAGTGAGTTTTTATAATTTTCATCTTAATTTTTCACATTTAGTTTTCCCTGTGTGGTTTTTTGCTCCAATCCGACCCAGTAATCTCCATCATTCTTATACTTAGAGTGACGTACCTGTAAATATTTTTTTGGAAATCTAGTCATATGTACAGTACTGAAAAATTTTGCTCAGTTTCTCAGTGCAACAGCCACAAGTTCTCACAGTGATATCACAGTTTCAAAAAGTAAAATCAATGGAACATTTTTTACTGATGACTACTTTTAAATTTTTACAATTACTTTAAATTTTTTCTCCATGAAAACTCCTAGGTTTACATTTTTTCATCATCGATCTCCATGATTTGTGCTTCTGAAGTAAGGCATGAGCTCTATTTATTAGATTTATCATGTTGTGACTGCATGATCAGCCCTAAAGTAAGGTATTTTTAAAGGTGCCAGTGACATTGGCTGCTCTAATTTTTGAACATTTTCCATTCACAATTAAAATATAAAATCATTCATACAGCAAATCGAAAAATTCCAGTGCGTTTAGATCTTAAGATAGTTCTCAATTAATATGAGAAGTAAGTCGTTGAAAAAATTGCCAGTCTTTTAGTGTATCCAAAAAATGTATACTACATAAAGATCAGCTTTTTTTTTCCTATCATACAACTGTATCAATATTCCTGTTGCTGGAAGGCATAGTCCACGCCAGATAAGTTTACGCATATTCCAAGTGTAACAGGAAAGCAGCTGTCTTCAGTTTAGCATTGGAGGCTAATAACTTAGTCTGGGGAAAGGTTACTGCAAAGTATAAAAGATCAAGCACAAAAAATTAAGTAGTGTAGGTAACGGGGACGTTTCGAGTCAGTCACAACCTGTCATTTTCAACCAAAAAGAAGAAATAAAAAATTAGTCGTCGATTCGCTGTTATTGTGAAACGGAGACTTTTTTCCCCTCAATTTTTTGCATTTGATCTTTTATATTTTCAGCATCCTTTCCCTGTATTACATTTTTATTTTACTGTGTTATTTAACCGATTCAGTTGTTCTTGATTGGAAGTAAATTCAAGGATCAAGTTGGCAGATCCTCTGTCGCCTCCTAAAAGAGTGTAAACTTATATGGCATGGAATCTGAAATGTTCAATCCAGTTTAGTTTTTAAAAGCAGCCAAACAAAACACAAATTTCTTACCTTCATACTTTTTACATTTCAATTCTGTGCATCACCTGAGTAATCTGTAAAAATGATACATTCAAGTGAAAGCCTCAACTGATTTAATGTTCAGTATTTACCTAAGACCATTAACACGTGTTCCTTCAAATACTTGATTTACTCAGGGAAAACGTACCCATTATTTCAGTTAGTTGACTTTTTGTATTTTAATAAGAATTCTCGGCATAATCCACTGAATTAGAAATTTAAGAACTTAAGAAAAAAAGATTACTATTACATTGTGCATATCATTACCATTTATTTTTATTTGTATAAACCTAGTATTATTTAATAATTTATCTCTGCCTCCACAAAAATTCTTGCTGTAAAATGCATATCCATGGCCAAAGGGCGAAACTACGTTTATCCGTTTGCAACGTTGCGTACTTCCTTTTATACTCAAGTTTTTCCTCGGAAAACTAGTCAATGTAATTACTTGAAAACTTTTTGGATTTTTTTTCTCTGTAAGCAGCATATTCTGTAGCTGTAAAGTTGGCTTGTTTCTCTTCAAAAAATTAAATAAGAGTGGAAATTTTGAAACACTGCGATAGAGATACACGGTTTTGCATGGCCATGAATATATTGATTCATTTTCATTTTTCATATTTTCTAAATGTTAGTGTCTTACCAAGATAAATTTTACAATGCATTCCAAGAAAATATTTCATGTGATTTAACAACTAACTTCAAAACATGAGTAACTAAAGCGAAAAATTATACGTATTTGTACATAGTCAAAAGACTAGAACACTGTGGAGGGGAGTTTTTTTAATGCTCAAGACTTGTCTCAGATGAACGACCATTCCACGAGGGCTGTGAGTTCCACAAACAACTGATACTGTTCACTATTGTGTATATGCAGTTCGGCCCGAATTTGGCAAATCAATTATTTTTAAAAGATAGACACGCAGCTTTGGGATTTTCATCAAACAAGTTCTAATTCAGTTGAAACTAGTTTGTTAAACTTGTTCTCCAAACAATAAGTTTTATCGATGACCGTCCGTCTGGACAGAGCCAAAATCCAAATAGTTGCTCTCAAGCAGTAGAGCAACAATTAAACCAAGTCTATCAGAAACACACCCGATCGCATCAAATATAAACGGAAAAAAGAGGTTTTAACTGTTATACCTCCATGAGACTCAACGTTAATGATAAAGTTTAACGAATATTTTCTCGCTCAAAATACAACCTAACTCGATTTTGAAGTTTTGAAAAGTGAAAATGTGGGATCAAAAGTTATTTGCAAACTCATTTGATTTTTTTGTCTCTAAAATGCGACTTGGTACGTTTCTGTCAAACTCAATCCATGTCCATCTGTGGCAAAGAACACAGCAGATATGGTCAGTGATGTAATATGCATCTTGTTTATTATCTTGTATTACGTGTGTTAGAAAACCTTTTCAACAAGTAAAGTGTAAGGCCTACCTCTTTTTTCATTTTAAGTCATTGAAATCAAATCCTGGTGATTTTATGTATAGGTATGTAAGAAAATGATAATACAAAACCATACTTTCCGGTGGAAACCCTGCCGTAAATATGGACTACATTTTACAATGAGGAACCATATAGGTACTTTCTGGCTCATTCATGAAAGCATGTATCTGCGTAGGAAGACTACAGCACATATGCTCCTTCTAAATAAATCCAGAATTAGTAGTTTTTAAGTGCAAAATATTGTTTCAATGTATTATTCCGAGTAATTTTGCTCCTGCTAGTTGAATTTATCCTGAAATTTTCAAGAAGGGCTGAGGCTATTTGAAATTCTGGAAATGATCTGAAAAAAAATCTTTGAGCATTTTTTTAGGGTCTAAGAAATTCTATTTTAATGTTTAAGTACAGTTTTTGTTTTATTCATAGCAAAAATTTAAATAGTTGTCATTTGATCGGCTGTGGGTCAAAATATGAATAGGGATGCATTGGTTTTTCTGCCGAACATAAGCACGACCATTCAACTATACTATCTTCCCTCCTTTGGAAATTCACTTGAGGAATTTTATAATCATTAACGTTTTTACTTGCAGTTTTTTTGAGTGAAAACAAACTGAAGTGTCATTGATGACGTAGTACATCTCTGCATCATTTTTTGTACTTCAAGTAGACTTTTAAAGTGATCCTGATTCTTGACTGTTCTGTTTTTGTTAAATGTACAGTTAATATGTCTATGGAATAAATTGTTATGTATATATTTTTCAAGAGTCATTCTCTCTGTAGTATTTTATATCTTTAGAATAAGCTGATTTTAAACCTGGGAAAATTGAAGATTTAACAAATGTTAAAGAACCTGGTCATCAATTTTTTGCTTTCTTTTTTTTATGATTTCTCCTAAGAATTATTTGCACAAAGTCTCTCGAAGTTAGAAAATTGCGATGTTTTTGGCTTGGAGAAAAAATTGTAGGTTTTGCAGCTAAATTCCCTGACTTTTCTAGAACTCTTATCATGTTCCACTACAGGGACAATTTCGATCAAATTGAAATGGAATTAAGTATGCACAAACGTTGTGAAAGTATGAAAGGGGGTTAAGAAGAAAACCTTACTTAACATAAGTAGTAGTTTTGAGGATGAGTATCAGATGAATGACTGTTTCTAATTACTCCACAATATTTATTTCATAACACATGCACAACAGAATTTACAACTTTGGTCTTAAAATTAACATGTCTTGATAAATCTTTAACAATTGGGAATTGCTAGGCTCCAATTGAATCATGGAGTTCGAAAACAATCTGACAACGGTCCCCTCTAATTTTCATTTTCTTTTTTTACTGGCAGAAAAACACACCTCAAGGATTAGCATATCTACTGTAGAAAAGGTTTTCCTTAATCAAAGTAGAAAGTGCCTGAGGTGGTTGAACATATTAAGAAATAAGGTAAAATCCCCAAAAAGAGGGTAATTCTCGGGAATTGAAAATAATTTCTTCAGATTGATTGACATTAATTTAATCTACTTGGATGCGTATGGTCCAGTTTTTGTTTTTGTTTTAAAACTCTCAAACATTTCCTCTTAAGATATAGCTTTCATTTTTCAGGCCTAAACTTTTTACTGTCTTGCAGTTTTTATTGTCTCTTGTAAGATTAAAATTATCAGAACTAGATTGTTTTCAAACTCAAATATGATCAAATCTGAAAGAAAAATTCCCAAAAATGATAAGTAAAAGTCTTGTTGAGAGGGCAAGTATATTTTTTTTTTTTTTATTTTTGAGAGAGGGAGCATATTTAAAATAAAAATTGAGAGGAAATGATAGTAATACTTGAGAGCGGTAGGGGTAATCTTTAAAAGTTATCAAAGATAATTTATCACCTGCTAATATCTCAGTTTAATAATTCATTCTGGAACTGAAATAGTAGATACCTAGTACTACACCAATGGTATGGTATCCACTCGGGTGAAACCTGAATCTACAGAATGTAATTGTATTCAATCCGTTTTTTGCAAGAGAGGTTTTTTCATGCCTTGGCACTTATAAGGAGCCATCTGTGAGCATGAGTGTGTGAGAAAAAAAAATTACTTTGTAGAAAATTGTTCGAAAATATGAAGCATCATATTAAGAAAAAATTAGCAGAATTTTCAAGAATAGTGATAAAACTATGAATTTTTAGTCGTTAACCATGAGTCAGACTTTTATTGCGGTCGCTTTAACACAGCCTTAATCAATTCTGTGACAGGACGCAAGAGGGAGGTATAATCGTGAATATCCTCCAATTGCAAAGAGGAGTCAAAAGTCTTCCTACAGAAAATATGCAAAATCAAGAATGTAATTTCGAAAAAATTTTAAACCATAGATTTACATCACTCTTAAGGAAGGTTTGCAGTGTTTTTAAGTTCCACTAGTCTAGTTTCAGGCTCTGAAGCAACAAGTGAAGTGCCCCCTCCCCCTTCTCTGATACAGCCGGCGCTAAAAATTTACAAAAGGAGTGACTGATCACTCCATAGCTAGTATTTACGTGAGATGACAAATGCGAATTAAAAAATATCTTGTTTATAAGACATAAAGCTGTAACCAATCGAATTTATCACCATGATTCGGAGTTATATCTTATTTTCATTGATACATAGTACACTGAGACAAACAATTCCAACAAGAAGAAAAACACAAATTCTTAAAATTTACAATTATTATATTCAAAGAAAAAGTTTCCTCTGAGGACTCCTAAGATATTTAACGATCCAAAAAATGACTAAAAATGGAGAGAACTGATTAAGTGTCACTACACAATAGGAAAGGGTAGAAGGGGTAGTTGAAGGGGGTAATAACTTAATAAGTGCAAAAGATGCACTAGGGGGGCCAAAAAAAAATAAAAAAAATAAAATGTGGCAAGTCTGTGCACTTTTAGAAGATCAGCAATCATCAGTTTAGTATTGAAAGTAAATACAAGAATCAAGAAAGTGGATCTTCTGCCTCACTGTAAAGGTGCCTAAACTTATTTGGCATAGATTCTATATGTATAGAAGAATATGCGGGTGGCATAAGCTGCTAAAGTTGTAAATATTACACATTATATGTATCTAAAAAGTGTGAAGTTATTAATATGAAGAGCAATGAGAACCGTCTTGCACTCATCTAGTTGTTTCCTCAAAAAATTATCAATTTTTAAAAACTAAAGATATTTATGAAGCTTAGGACATACCTTACAAGTAAATGCAAACTTAGACCTAATTCATATGTTTCGGTCCACATTTTCGCCTATTGCGCGATCAAAGCCAGCCACATCTTGTTTTAGATTGGACATGGCTATAAGTATCTAGTCATAGTTACCACAGACCAGTCAGGCGTATTTTGAGCTTCATCAAATTTAAATTTTTGGAAAATTGGATGATTATTGCATGAATGGCAGGGGCGGGTGGGAGGCATAGATGTATTGAATGCTACCATGAAAAAAACTTAGATTTATTTTTAAGGATAGTGCAATTATGGAAACATATTATTTTAAAAAACGGAGAAAGTTTGATCGATCAAGTTATCTTCTAAAAATGATTCCTATTATCAAAGATACTTCAATGACTTGAAAATTGTATTTCCTGTGGTTGTCATTTACTTTTAATTATGAGAGTTCAGGACTGAAAACATGTTTCTTTTCCTCTCTCTATCTCCTTTTTTTATCTCCTATCTCTCTCTTTTAATGGCTACGAGGTGAAACAAAATTTTTTATATCACATAAAAACATTTATTAAAATATTTCTTTAATTAACTAGCTAATGCAGGGTAGGAACTAAAAAAAACTGCGGACCTAGACCCATTCAATGCTTGGGCAGACTGTCATTTGGTAACTTGCTTTTATAGGGCATTCCAGAAATGATAGCAGCTTAGACATTGACAAAATTCAACCTTTCTTGTTCCTTGATTTGTCCGGAGGTGGCTACAGCCACCCATGATACTTCAAAGTATGGGAGGTAACAGATGTACTTAATTCAGTGATCATTATTTTTAATAGAAACATGAATACAACAAAATTACAGTTTCAAGATGAGGTACAGCAAATACATGAGGAGAACACTAAGTGAAGTATTGACTAAAGAAACATGAAATAAATAGGAGAATGGTATTCTTGGTAATTAATCACTGTACCTCCATCTCATGTATGCCACTTTCATTCTGTCCCATACACTTTCCCATGAATCTAAAGCTGGTCTAACATCTAAAATAGCAAATCTATGATGTTGATCTAAAGTTCCACCATCATAGTAGTCAATGATATAACGTACTTCTTTCCCATTTCGGTCTATGATCCAATCATGGCGATCGAAAGGATACTCATAACCCATTAAATGTCGTATTCTTGCTCGAGGAGAGTAATCTTTCGCACGACCTCCAAAACTTTTCAATTTTGGTTCCATACATTCTTTCGCATGGAGAGCTTCCCATTTGAGAACTTCTTGCCATGCCTGCTCATTATTTGCATTGTGAATTTTGATAATATGTTCCATGTCAGCAGGGTTGAGATCATCGTCCTTCCATCGCCAACCTTTGCGCAACATGGCGTTCCAAAACATTTGTGCGGAGGGGTACACCCAAAATCCACCTTCTTCAGTTGCTTTTGGTATTGATGATATTTCTCTATTTGTAGGCAGAGGGAATGGCTGATCAGGTGCAGGTTTCTGATTTGCTGGTTCCATCTGAAATAAAATTATCAAATACAATTACTATGAGAAAGGGAACACATTTTAACAAGCTTTTGCTCAATTCTGAAACTCTAACATTGTAGACTATGGTTGTATTTGACAAGAAAAAATAAAAAGATTTGAGCATTTTGAAGGTAAATTTACAATGACTCAAGTAGTTGGGCTATACGACTTCCTGAGACAGAAGAGCACAAATATTTACCAAATTCTATTATTTCATCGTAACTTCCTTTTCTCAGCTTTGATCTGAAAATTTTTATTTAGGTCAAGTTACAATTGTTAACAAACAAGATATCAAGTCAGATCTCGCCTCCTTTGGCAGTCCTGTATGATATATGGCAGCACTATCAAACTCCACCAAAATGCCTTAACCATGGTACATTTCAAAATGCAGTAATTTCCAGCATTAAGAGCAACGTTTGATGTTTAAGCAGGACCCAAACCCGGGCTATGCTGCTTGGAGACTGGCGGATTCATGTGATCTAAAAGGCACAGTCCTGCCACCATGGAAACTACAAATGGATCACACTTAGCAGAAGGGAATCAGCGCAAATACAGTGTTTCCAAAATCATGAAACTTCTTCTTTTCTTTAAAAATATACTTCATACAAGTACAGTATTATTTTACACGATGATTTTCATTTAAAATTAACAAGTTTGTGGTGGGAAGCGATATCGATTTGCTATTCTGGGACATTTTTTCAGATAAATATGAAGAAGCAACATTTTCACTAAATCGCGCTGGTTCCTTTATGCTTAATGCGATCCAAATGTAATGTAACACAAATTCCATCCAGATAAAGTGGTACAAACCGTCAATTGTTGGGTGAGTACTGTGAATAAAAGCCACAAATGCAACCGCATCTTTTTTGGAGCCTACCGGGAGATGACCCATTGGCAACTTCAAACTAGCCAATGCCCGCTTGGTGGTAAGAAAAAAAGTAAATGAACAAAAAATAGGAACAATTTATCTCACCATGTTCAAAGGATTGATTTCATATTCTGCGGGTTGATTAGCCTGAGAACCCTGCAAAAATATTTCAACACAAATATTAAAAAGGTAAATAACAAGAATAACATACCTAGGATGAAAAAATAATTGCATATCTTTATTGGTGACTGTCCACTTGGACAAAATTCTCAATAGAGCGATTTTTGCCAAGTTAGATAAAAACATGATATTCCGCTGGAAAACTCTCCCGTGTCCTGAAGAGTGTAATTTAAGCAGCCCAATTTATTTCCGTGTCAACTACTTAGTGTAAAGTTGCTTCATGATAGGGCAATTCCATACCTTGAAGGCAGCAAATTAAAAGTTTGAAAAGCTTTTCCATACGACTAAATTTTTTGAACTACAAACTTTAGGCCATGGTAACTTAAGTTTTGTCTCAAAATTTTCAGCGAACATTCCTTGATGCTGTTGTGTTAAAAACTCAACCTAGAGTTTTAATGGGACCGAGTTTATCAGAAGGGAACCAACTCACATTTTCAAAAAAATTGAGTTAAGAATGTTCTTGAGTTCCACTAGCTGTATATTCTCTCCTGCCAAAAACTGAAAGTCGAAAAACAGAAAGAGGGGCTGAAGTTTATTTTCTACATTGAGCCTGATGCAGGAATAAAACTTCAACCTCTTTTTCTCAGTTTCAACTTGTGGGCTGGTTCCTTTCTGATGAACTTGGTCCAATGAACTTACTTAAGATCCTTTGAATGTGGGCAGTCACATTCTAATACTTGCTTGTGCTCCGCCAATCAAATGATGCAACTTCCAGTGACTTTAGCTGTGTTGAATACTTGCTGAGGGGTGAAAGGGTCAAGGTAAGGGGTGTGGATTTTTAATGGATTTGACCAAAACATCAATTTTTTTACCAGAAAAATTGATAAAATCGAATCGATTTTTTCATCGGGATTAATCAACCGAATCATTTTTTTCCTAGAATTGATGCAATTTTAGATACTTTCCATTCTTTTGGCTGCCAAGGCTTTTCTCAAAGGCTTAAGCTTATTCTACAGACATTTCTCTTTCCTGTTTTGTGATGACTTTTTCACCCCTGAAATATAGTTGAAATTTCGTGGAAAACTGAATTACATTCATTGCAGTAAGATTAAATTTGGCATTTCTGGTAGAGGCAAAAAAATTTTGATTTTTTCGAATCGATAGTCAAATCTATTCAGCTTTTATCAATTTTTAAACAGAAATCAATTTATTCCAAAAAATCCACATCCCTCAGATTAGAACTGATTAAGTAGGTACTTATCCTGTGAGGATAAAATTTTACAATTGAAGAGCCCAAAAAAAAAAAAAAAAAAAAATTGGCCTTAAGGAACAAAACTAAGAATTCTTCACTCATTGATAGATCTCAGGGCTTCTTGAGCTCCCGGTACCAAACATCCCTGAAAAAAATATGTACTTATTAACAAGGATCTTACTTTTCTTGAAATGTGCATTGGACATTCAGGAGGAATTTCACCGCTGAGGTACTTGCTGGAGAAGGCTGATCCATGATGCCCCGCTATAGGTTCGTCAACCTTACCGACAATTTGACTCGCAGCAATTTGAGCAGCAGATACAGTTGAGACAGAGTTTCCCATGTTCGATTATCTGAAAGCAGGCACACATAGTTTATTCAGTCAAACATGCTCAATTGGTCAAAACACAGGATTATGTAATCGGAGATCACATGTTTCAACATTTGGGTGTGTGCGATGATATAGACAGGAAGTGAAGTGAAATAATTTTAATACGCCCTGGGTAAAGAATGAATAGTACAAATCAAATAAATGGATAAAATGTTAAAGTGTAAAAAAGGACTGAAAGGGGGTCATACTTACAGCCGGGAAGGTTAAGGGCCCATGAGCCCCCTTAAAACTTAGAAATTCAAAGAGGAGCAAAGGTACGCTTGATTTGAAGTTTTTGACAAAAATGGAAAAATTACCTCCAAAAATTGATATCCATATAAAGAGAGAATTGTGGTGATGGTTAGAGAAGAAAAACTATACGAGAAGATGTCACAGCCCACCTGAGGTAAACAATGTGACATAACCTTAAATTTTACCAGTGTGACCATTTTGAGGTTAAACGTATATTCCTGTGTTCGTCATGGTCATATCTTGTGATATCTTGAAAAAAGTGCCAAAATGTTTATAAAAGCGAAGTTCCGTCTTAGTATTATGTCTAAGCTCTGGTGCAAGTGGACCTCTCGATCTATTTAGTGTAACCAAGTCATACTGCTTATAATTGTATTAAAGTTTTTAGTGTGTGATGTTATGTTATCCGATCTTTTCCAATATTGTCAACAATGAATGAATTCAATAGACCTTAATTCAGACTTTGGTCGTGACTAGTCATGAGATAGTGCTCAGAGTCTTCTACTCAAAAGAATCATTGAACTACCACATAGTTTTAGTAATGCCATGTATAATATTCTTTTTTTTCCTGCCATAGAAAATGTCGTCTAGTTCTATTTTTACTTCAATCTCACGACGCAATACGTTGTCTTCGAAGAAAGTAATCACCAGATTATTGAAAAAAAATGTGTCTACTTGGTCTCCATTAGCAACTTTATTTAATGCCAAACCTGCAAGAAAACTCTCGCTAAATCTAGAAAATGTGGTAAGTCACCATTACACTGTACCTACCCAAGTGGTTTTGACGTTATGGTATGTTTGTGATACATTCTTCACAAATGAAGCTCAGAAAGAGGATCCAAACTGCTAGTGTGGAGTGGCTCCTACTATGCTTTAAAAGAAGAAAGATATTGCTCAAAATTGTAAAAATCAGTGTTTATTTCAGTTCTTTCTTTAAGAATGCTGTTTTCGTACTAAAGTTTTCTCACCTGTACAAGGATTTCTTCACACCAAGAGCAAAAGATCATGTGCTCAAGCTTTTTTCACATCCTTGAAGGACACATTTTCACTAAGTAACGCTCATTAAATGAAGCACTGTATCTAATTCTCTCTGTTCTAGGGCTTGTTCGGAATCGGCCCTCTGAGGTCTTTCGATGGCTTTTATCTGTTGAAAGAACAAGCCAAAGTTGATACAAATAGACTACTTGAAGAAGCGGAAAGTCCAAAACGGTAATTTTTGTTCTGTCAATTCCTAAAAATTCAGCACACAACTTCTTTACTATTCCAAACTCAGTAAATTACTCTCAACTTTCTAAGAGCAGCTATCTTCAGACTTACTTACTTTGCTTCTATATGATAGCTGATAAACACTATGACAACGATAAAACTGCACTTGGTTTGCAATGCTGCAGACTTCCTCTGATACTTTGTTTTTTTAAATGGAAAAGTACTTTACATTATTTCTTGAAAATGTTCCTCTCCACGAGAAATATTTTGTGAAAATTTCAAGCAGTAGCAAAGGTTTTTCATCTTTTGATTAGTTAAAATGAGAGCAGAAATTTTAAAGCACCGCAAGCAAGTTGCTGTTTTACTGCAGTAGTCTATTTGTCTATTGTAATGAAATTAATTTCGAAAGGTAGGACCCACGAAACTGCCCGAATTCTACTGATTTCATTTTAGTAAGGGTGGTACTATTCACAAATTGCAAATTAAGGCCGGATTTTTTTCTTCCTTACTGTTTTATTTTAAACCATCTCTAGGTTTCATTTGAATTTTTTCTCATTTTGCGCCTCAGGGTAGATGTCTAGGCTTAAACTTCTCAGCTTCTTATTCATCAGAACTTGAGGATAATCATTATTTTTTTCCCTTAGAACCCGAAAAATTGTTGAAATTTTTGATGAGCTATCAAATGCACTCTGTCAGGTAGCAGATCTAGCAGAATTTATTCGCATAGTCCATCCTGATAAACAATTCGCAGCAGCAGCTGAAGATGCCTGTATTAGTGTCAGCTGCTTGGTTGAACAGTAAGTAAAAATTCCTTGTGTCAAGGTATAAATAGTTTTGCTTACTTTTACGTAAGTAATTTCTTCTGAAAATAATGAAACAATCAAATGTCCCTGTTCCTGCCTCCGTGAGGCAAAGCAAGATCATCTAAAACCTCATAGTTAGGAGGATTTTTCTGTTAGTCCCACTTATCATCAACAATACCTATTAGAGAACAATGTCTAGCTTTACAGCTTCCAATATATTAATGGCTAAAGTTATAATATGCAAGTCTTCATTGCAATGTTCAAAACCTTTGGTCACATTTCATTTTTTGAAAGAAAACTAGAACTCACATCAGATAAGTCGGTAGTTGTTTGTTGACTCTCACATGCAGTAGACAAAAACATCTCCTCAGACGCAGTTATCAGTTTTTGGTATCTGTCTACAACTTCAGCACAACATCATTGTCGCACTAGTCATTCTTTGATCGCTATTGAACGGTGGCAAGGTCCTGTAAATGGGAAGTAAACAACTGCCAATTTATCTAACGCAAATTCTCCTTGAAATTTTCTTCAGTAATTTTTGATTATGTAAAGAAAATTTACAAAAGATTACAATTAAGATTAAAAGATTAAAGTTAATTAAACTTTCAGTTAGTTTCCCTCTTTTTTTAGGAAATAAAACACAAGCAAATTTTTAATGTTGGAATTGTGGGTACACATTTTTTTACTATTTTGCTCCCCTTAATGACTTTTGACTGGACCGTAAGTGTCTTTTTTCCAGAGACTACCATTAAGAAAACACCTGAGTATCTTATTTCTGAGCTAAAGTTTGTAAAACTTGCTCTTTGTATTCTGAGAAGTAGCTCCTTTAACCTCTTTCTTTCTGACTTATCGAATGCTTAATTTCTTCATCTCTTTCTTACTGAGAGATACTTACTGTTATTTTTAGGTTATCAAAATTTCTGTCTTTTTTTTCATAGGCACATAACTCTTAATATTTATTTACACAATTTTCAGATTGAACACCCGCAGAAAACTTTATGATTCTTTGAAAAATGCCATCGAGAACGGAGACGTACTTCCTACCACAGATGTGGATGATCATGTGGCAAAGTTATTCCTTTTTGATTTTGAACAGAGCGGCATTCACCTTGATGAAAAACTGAGAAATGGTGTTGTGAAGTTGAATGACTACATTCTTCAAACTGGTCAACGATTCATGGCAGGCTGCTCATATGCCAAAGAAGTTACTTTGACTGATATTCCAGCTTCAATAAGACATAAGTAAGTTAAATATATCTCTCTCTGTAAATGAGATCATATACATAGCATTTTTTCTTACAGGACATTGGCCAATATTTTTCATGTGGGCTGAATGATACAAATGAAAATAAGATTGCCAAAGCTTGTACTTATTTCTTTTTTTGTAAATAATGGCCTCAACTGTACCTTGTTGAAAAATAAATTAAAATTTTGTGCAAATTGGGGTGCTCTGATTATCTGAGACTGATTCAGTAGTTGGGAATATCTCTAAGTAGACCATGAGTGGACCTACTGGGCGCGTAATTGGGCATTTCCTGTGTCCCCGCCTTGGTTTGAATTTTTTAAAGGGTTGATTTTCTCAAAGTGTTTGTTATGCACTCTTTGAAGGTGTGGCACTAAAACATTGATTTTAAGAGTTTTTTAGCCCATAGATCCCTTCTTGCATTGAGAGTCATACATAGTTAAAATTATAGTGAAAAGTAAAAAAATACAATGTCTCTGAATTTTTTTCAGCTTCCATTCAGATGGTCATCGGGTCTATGTGCATGGATTATGTTCGGAATCTGCGGATGAGTTTGTTCGAGAAGTGGCTTACAAAATATTTTTAGCTCCCAATCCTAGTCAGGAGCACCTGTTGAATGAATTACTCGACTCCAGATCACAATTAGCCAAAGTTTGCGGGTTCCCATCTTACGCCCATAGGTATTTTTGATCACACAAATACATTGCGATTAAATTTTGTAACTCAGACTAATAATATTTTATGGAAAGCTTTGAAAAATGTAACTCTCACAATTTTTAGTGCTTTTTTAATACATACGTTTTATCTTCCAACATTTCCCTTTTTTCCATAAAACATCTAAAATCATAAAAATGTATCTCAATTACATTCCTTTTTTATCTTTCAGAGTATTAAAATCCAACACTTTTGATGACCCAGAAACAGTGAAGCAGTTCTTGTCATTACTGAAAAACTTTGTGAAACCGTACGCAGAGATGGATTTTTCAATTCTGAAGGAAGTAAAGACAGCTGAGAGTGACAAGGTATAATGAAATTAGAATCAATATTTACACTCATTTGGACCGAGTTTAACAGAAAGGAACCAAGCCACGTCAGCTATTGCCAAGTTTAATTGGGCAATTAATTTTTTTACGAGAGAACGTTTGTTCGGATTTCTTTGAAAATTTTAGGGAATTTGCTTCGTACCATGGAAAATTTTCACTGAAATTTACACAAAAATCCGCACAACCGTTTTCTTGTAAAAAATTAAATTGCCCAATTAAATGGGCCTGTTGCAAACTTTTGCTAGAGCAAAACTAAGAGTTGTTTCCTGCAGATAATGCCTCAAAAATCACAATGAGCGCATCGGCAAAGTCTGAAATGCACTCATAACTTCACAATCTGCGTAAGATATTTGCGGTTTTTTGAGCTTCCCGCTTCGAAAACGATACTACGGTACAGGTGAACATTTTGTTAGAGGAGTCGTTCCATTGGCGACAATACTCACCATGGCTGACGCCAGTCCGCCAAAACACGTGTGATGGGACGAGATAACACCTGAACAGGATTAAACCATATAACAATCGGCGTGTTTACGTTCATATTTTCCTCGCCCGCCTTAATTGACCTTGAACTCTCCTCGAATTACGCGAGGAACTGCGCAAGCGTCGGCCATGATGAATATTGCCCACGATGGAGCAACTCCTCTAACAAAATGTTCACCTGTGCAGTAGTATCGTCTTTGAAGCGGGGAGCTCAAAATAACGCAAATTTCTTACGCAGATTGTGAATTTATGAGTGCATTTCAGACTTTGCCGATGCGCTCATCGTGATTTTTGAGGCATTATCTATAGGAAACAACTCTTCATTCTGCTCTAGCAAAAGTTTGCAACAGGCCCATTTGGCAATAGCTGATGTGGCTTGGTTCCTTTCTGTTTAACGCGGTCCAATTGACCCTTTGACTAATGCATAAATTAGACCTCACTTCTCCTAGAATTGATATCTAATCATGCAGAAATCAGTAGCTTTTAACACTTACAAATAATTTTAAACTCATTTCTGGAGGTAGAAAATTGAATTACTAAACATTTACTATAGGTTCTTTTTAGTTTATAATTTGGTCACTAACATAATCACACATTTATATTGCTGGTCATGTTGAAGATCATGGAAATTGCAAAATCCGAGGTTTTTACATACTCAACAGTATAATAATATAAACATGCTGGAATAAAGCAATAAATTGTAATCAAATATAAGTTTTAGGTTGTTCAGTGTTCATACCACTCATATAAACATATATGTTAACGCAGTCTATTGCAGAACTATTGATGTATCGTAAACGTTGATAACCAGAGCTGTTGGTTCCTAACTGACCAGCGTGGCGCGGACAGCTCTGAGCTTTTAGTCAGAGAGATAAGAACTGAAATCATTTCATTCAACTAATCTTTTCTGGCAAAATGTTAATTTTTCATTTTAGTTAGTTACTTCTCTTATGTATCTTCAATACCTAGTATTATTCCTTCAATATTTGATTATGCATATTTTCACAGAAAATAAAACAGGCTTTAAATTCAAATTAATCCTACTGATTCTTTGGTTTTAAAGATAATGTCATCTTTCACAAAAGTATGAAGTTTAGTTAAATTTGGAACTGAATACAATATGGTTTGTTCTCTCACATGTATAGTGTCATTGAAATTTCTTCTTCCTGTATGTAATTGTTACCTGGCACTAAACACTTTAGCGCTATGAATTGATCAAATCCTCGTACCCTTATTTTCAATGTTGTTCTCCTTTATTTTGAAGCCTTTAGCAGCTTGGGATGTGCCATACTTAACGAACAAAGCCAAACGGAAGTGGCTCAATGTATCAGGAAAGCAGTATGCTCCCTATTTTCCTCTTGGTGGCTGCATGGAAGGTCTTAGCAATTTATTCAACTGTTTGTTTGGAATTAGCCTGGTTCCTGAAGGAACTAAACATGGAGAAGTATGGTCACCGGAAGTTTACAAATTAGCTGGTAAGAGCAAGTAGTAAACTTATCTTATCTTCTTTAAAAGGTTTGTTTGAATATTAAGAAGTGAAAGAGATTTGTTCTCTATTATGAGCGTCTACGATTCATTTGTTACTCTCAATACCAATCTCTGGCTGAAAGAAATATTCACAACTAGAAGGAGTTTTAATTGAGTAGGGATGTTCATGTATTTTCCCTTCAAAACCAATGAAGATATGGGCCACAAGACAGTGAATCAACTTGAGCACCGCAATACATGTTCTCAAATCGAAATTTTACCCTTTTTTTCAAATTTGGTGCACGACTTAGAAAGTGATGTCATTTTTATCGCACCTACCTCTTGCAGTTGTACCTCTGAAATATTCATATGAATGGTGTGCTGAAAAACTTGTCTGACAGCAGGGTTTTCTCAATTGATAAGGATTGTTTTGGGAACTTCAATGCAAAAGCGATCTCATCTTTCTCCTGAGTTAAAAAGGAGCTTTAGTGATCGAAAGTTCTACACAGATGTAGAATTGCAAGAGGCTGTAAAGGAATATGTACTCTGCAGATAGCCAATATTTTTAAAATATGCCGGTGAAAGGTGAATGCGTATACATGATGTCACTCACTAACCAATGCACCAAATACGAAAAACGAGGACTTCTTGGAAAGCTGAGAGCATAACAGTAAAGAGACGTTCCTCATCTATGGCATGGCTGTACATATTCGCCTTGGAAAAAAAAATGATGTATACATTACAAATGTCCTTTTTAATTTGAGAAGTTGATACTCTTCTAAATATTTCCTTTTTTGAGTAAATTGCCGCGTTGGTCAACTGATAAACAATATACTTTAATTTCAGTAACGCATGAGACTGAAGGTCTTCTGGGGTATATCTACTGTGATTTTTATGAACGGCATGGGAAACCAAATCAAGACTGTCATTTTACCATTCAAGGAGGCAGGACTCTTCCAGATGGATCGTATCAAGTGAGTTTTTTTTTTATTATTTTCTCTCTTTTCCATTTTAAGTAGGTAACTACTTTTACAGGCAAGAGGCAAAAGCAAGAAAGCAATAGTTCATTTTCTGAGGTAGCCAATTTTTTGCACCAAGGTGAGACTTAAGATGAAAGTCTGAATTAGTTAATTTGCATTTTTCACAAGGAACACATCCTTAAAAAAAACTTTTGATTAGATCAGTCCTTGTCAAATAAAGATAGAGAGTCCATTATCTTGATTCTTGTATTTACTTTTAATGCTAAACTAAAGACAGCAGATCAAGTGTTGCACTCTAAAAGTATGTAGACTTATTTGGCGTCAACCCTGATGTGTCTAAAAACATGGTAATTTCCAAAAATATAATTATTTCTGAATTCTCCAGTATTATCCTCGAATTCTGCGAGGGGGAAAAAAATCAATCGTTCCCTATTTTTTTTCAAAATTTTTCAGGAGGAAAAAAATTCCTGCTGATACTGATTTGCACTTCATATAGTGTTTCTTCTCTTTTCATAGAAGGTAAACAGTTGACTCTAAGGTAAAATTCAGCAATGATCCTAATTGTGTTCAATTGATTTTTGTTCAGAATCCAATTGTGGCAGTTGTTTTAAATTTCCCAACGCCAACTTGGGGTTGTCCTAGTCTTTTAACTCCATCACTAGTTGACAATCTGTTTCATGAAATGGGTCATGCACTACACTCTATGCTAGCTCGTACAAACTATCAGCACGTTAGCGGCACTCGATGTAGCACCGATTTTGCGGAGGTACCGTCAGTACTGATGGAGTACTTTGCATCTGATCACAGGGTAAGAATCATTGTTTCTTCGATTGAAATAAGTAGATTCGTTTTAGCCATCATATGCCTATTTCTAATGGGTCAGTTGCGCTGGTCTCAGAATTGTGTTTTCATGCTTGATTCTTGCAGATTAGCTACAAATACTAAGATCTGTCGAAACGGCAATTTTCTATGTTCAATATTAATAGAGATATTGCGCTTTGAAAAATTCGGTTTATGACGTCATCCACCGCGGTAGTGACACCCTTGATTTCTTCCACCTTGCTTTCATCCGAGTTTTACATTGAGTAACCAGTGAAAATGTGCGTCACACCGACTGATGAAAGCAAGGTGGAAAAAACAAGGGTGTCACTATCGCGGTGGATGACATCAAAAACCCGACTTTTAAAAAGGCGATATCCTAGTTATTATTGAACATGGAGAGTTGCTGATTGAACAGATCTTATTATTTTTAGCTGATCTACAAGAATCAAGCATCAAAACTTGATTCTGTGACCAGAGCAACTGACCCATGGTATACATTAGTACTCCAATCAGAAAACGAGACAGAAAGGATTAAAATTGAGAATCTTTTACATGCTTTAATTACAATTATATTTGTATGTATTCTCATTTCAGATTATAAATTCACAGAAGGAGGGATCTACATTGAGGTTACATCATTTGTTTTTTGTCAGTTCCGTCGTGAAAAGTTTCTTGATTAGACAGGGTGTCTACAAATCTGGAAAATTGGGAATTACCAGAAAATTCACCAGGCTAGGAAAAACAGGAAGATGCTTGGAAATTGAAAAAAAGGCTGGAATTTTTAAAAACCTTGAAACTTGAAATCTGAAAAAAAGAAGAAAAAAATACCAGCATAGTCCATACTAGCATAGTCCATACCATCAAACGGCCTCCCCGACTGGTTTGGGGCTCAATGCTCGAAATCATACTCCAAATACCGTAAAGAGGAACAATTTTTAATGAGGAATCACAGTCTTAGTCAGTATTGAATAATAAATATCTAAAGTAACGTTAAAGTTCACATCTTTCTGTCATTCCCAGTGAAATTAATGAAAGTAATTGTTCATTTTCAGATCTGCACTTGCAAATTGTGAATGTGAAGTCAAGGAATTTTGATCATTTCAGTCAAAATGTACCAACTTGAAGTCATTTTACATACCTGCCAAAAACCTAACTCTTTGAAACAATGCACCATTGTGCTCTACTCCTCTCATTTTTATTATAGATGCAGTTTTACAAAAAATGGAAAAAGCTCCTTGCATGACCCTAAGTTTTCTACACATCAGACAACTTTGATACATGTTCCCTACTTATGATTAATTCAGTTGAGCTGTTATTTTGAATGAATGCATCTTGATTTTAGGTTGTGAAATCATTTGCCAAGCATTACTCAACATCGGAACCCATCCCTGATGCCATGCTTGACCAGCTGAAGAGGAGTAAGTATCTGTTCCAAGCATCGGAAATCCAAGCACAAGTTTTCTATTCTGCAATGGATCAAGAATATCATAACTCACATCCCTTGAAGCAATCTACAACAGAAGTCTTAGCGGAGCTTCAGAATGAGTATTACAGCGTCCCATATGTCCCCAATACGGTAAGATGGCAATATGTTTTCCTTGGCTCCAATCTATTCATTTTCACTATTTTCAGAGTATTGACAAAGCCTTCACAATTGTAAATATACTCCATTTCCTCTTTTTATCATATCAAAACGATGTTCGGAGTTAACAATTTTCATCAAGATTTAAGACACTTTGGAAAGTCCTATAACATACCTGAAGCTTTTCTTAAATTTTCTAGAATAATACCTGATTTCTACATCAATGGGGTATTGCGTTGACAACTGTTCTTTCCCTCCTGTTTTCCTAGATATTTTAAAATGCCAAATAATCTTGTCTTGACATCATGTATTTGCTCCTCTCCAAGTAAGGAACAGAAATTTACGGTAAAGGAAAAGGAAACTTCCCTTTTAAATGTCCTCTTAAGTCCTTGATTTTGGTCTCAAAAAGCTGTTATGAACCCTGTTTACTAATAGGTGAAAGAATGGGAAGATTACGTACCTTCATTTTGCTTGTCCCCGCTCCATAATAAGCAAAGATCAATTTTGATGGAGAGTTTAATGCCGTGACAGAATTTTAAAAGCCTAAAGAACCAAGTATCTTGCCAAAAGGTTTCAAGTTCTTGACAGCTTTCGAGTGGAAGTTTTATCAGCAGATTGTACACATTATACTAAGAAAAGTAGTCCTCAGGACATCCCCTCCCCCTGCATCACTCCTTGTCCCACTCCGCAAATTGCAAAAATTGCAATGTCAGCTTAGCCTTTTCATCAGTTGACCATGTCAACAAATTGTGCCATCTCTGTTTTAGTGGAAGTTGGTGAATTAAAGATTTTCTTCCAATCTACTGCTCTTTGATTGAATACACCATGGAAGAATAACACATTTCTTTTATTAATTTCGAGGCAGAAATATGTTGATTTTAACATTTTTCTAAAAATTAAGTTTTATACTCCGACTACCATTAGCTTTGTTTTGACTTACATTTTTATTAATTTTTGCAGGCATGGCAACTTCGATTCTCTCACCTTGTTGGTTATGGAGCCAAATACTATTCTTACCTGTTGTCCCGTTCTATCGCAGCAGACATTTGGAAATCTTACTTCCAATCAAACCCTTTTGATCGCGATCAGGGTGAAAAGTACCGGAGAGAATGCCTGGCATTTGGAGGCGGCAAACCATCGCCGATGCTTGTCACTGATTTTCTCAAAAAAGAACTTGAACCGGAAGTTATAGCATCATCTTATTTAGAAGAAATTGACCAATTTAATTCATCCCGTCTCGTGTGAATTTAAGTTTTTATTAATTGAATTCAATTGTTTCGTTTTGTTTCTAATTATACTGACATGTATCATTGTATTATATTTCCACTTTGTTATGATTACAATGAAAGCCACTTCAGTCTTTGTTAATATTTTTTTTTTGTCCTAGAGTTCTCACTATGTTACTTTCTTTTAAAATTTTTGCAAATCCTTTAAGCAATTTCATGAATTTGCAAAGATTTATAAACTGAATAAGGTAGTTGCAAATAATTTTTGCTGGGTTGTTTAATAGTTATACCATTGTAAAATTTTGTGGAAAAGCTGAAATGTTCATTAAAATTTCAAAAAACCATTTTTAAGAGGAAAAGCTAATCAAAATCTGTCCAACAAAAACCTGACTATAGATTTGACGTAGCAAGGCAATACCGGAGGCTGAGTTCAGTCAATCAGCAAACGGCATTGCCTCAGACCTACACCTACGCCATCACAACCACCGAAAAATATTGTTTCAAATGGGTCCTATGTTTGGCATTTTCAAAACTGAGTTTCTTTGTCAGTTAGGGTTAAAAAAAAATCATAGACAATTCCTAGAAGCTTTAGTCTACCCCATACTTTTAGAAAATGAATAGAAAGAGTATATATTCTCCAACAAATACAATAGAGATGTGTGCCACTGGCCCATTCCTGCTGTTTCCTCCTGCCCATCCATGCAGATCTTTTAAATCCGCTCTTTTGTAAAAATTATTTTTGCATTTTGCATCATATCAGAAGGAGCATTTTCTGAAAATGGGCTGTGCCCTTAAAAGTATGTATCTTTCAGAAGTTTTTTGAAAGAATGCTACTGATTTTTGTTCATGAAAAAAGTAAATTGCCCCATAAAATGTTGCAACACATATAACTCTCGAGAAAAACCATTTTTTTTTTTTTTTTAATTTTTGAAAAGATAAGTAAATATCTAGTTGAGTACAGAGAGATATCTTTTTATTTTCTTTTGCTCTTTTACTTTTTCGGCCTACCTTTTCCAAAATTGGGAAAATAATTTAGTCCCAAAATTTCTAGATTTTTTTATAACTACTGCAGCACAATTCTCCTTCCATGAAACAAAATCCGAAATTTTGAGGCCCTAATACAATTGAAACTTAATTTTTAAAAAAATTATAATTTTTTTCAATGACAATATATGGCGAGACAATATTACCTAATACCAAATTACAAAAAAAATGGTAATAATTTTACAGTACCTAACAGACATTTCAAGACTTTTCAAAGCTCTGTTTGTCCCCACCCCCTCCACTAGCAATGTCGACTTCCACTGACATTTTCCACTGTTATCCTCCTTCAATCCCCATCATTTGTCTGTAATGACGCACCTTTCATTTCGATCGAGGGTGCGCTCACGCACCTCCGGTCGAACGCGAAAGATTTGCCAGAACTTGAAGCTGAAGTAGAGACAATGAAAATGTCGTAGTCGTTGTACTGAGATTGCGTGTTATGTATGAGGATTGCATACCCACCCACGCGTCCAGTTCCGCTTAACCCTCTGCCCCCCCCCCCCCCCNCTTCATGCCTGCGGCCATAGAAAACAATAATATTCTCTCACACACACTAGCCATTGATTGTGAGCAGAGCGTGTAATGTAGTAGTGAAGTGATAAGCTTTATCTTTCACCGGTAGGTGGAGGGAGGGGGCTCAAACAAAACTTGCCATTGTTACCAACAGTCGCCATCTTAAACTAAGAGATTAACCTGAACATTAGTTATCCTAATCACCGTTTTCTAAGTTACTTAATCAATTTATCATTGGAATTTCTTATGATATTGAACTCTCAAGAGAAATTCATGGTAATTTCTCGTACATCCCTAAGCGAAACTTCATTCCATATCTAAATCCGTAGGAGGGTCCGGCATTGTCAAGTTGCAATCGTGGGATAAACAGCTGAGAGATGCCAGTGTTTCATGAACAGCCATGTCTGGCAGAAGTGTTCCAAGGTAGCATTTTCCTGTGAAGTGAAGTAACTCGTCCGTGTGAGTGTGTGGGGTTTGGAGTTCACTCCCAGCTTTTCCTGTGATTTTATTCGCTCTGAGTTAGCATCTTTCTTCACTATTCATCTACTAGTTGTGTCCAAGGTGAGCTATCACGATTTCTACCTCGAACACTTTACTTTTTTCGGAATCGCCCATTTTCATTCTCCCCCTCGCATCAAACAAGCTGGGGCAGACATCCAAAGGATCGTGTGTTTTCTTTCTCCCCTGGTTCCTCTGTTATCAGTCCTCCACGACACAAATCATGTGGCACCGATATTCTCTCATTAGTTGCCTTTGATTTCAGTTTGCTCCCTTAATTTACCAAATTCGACCCCTCTTTTGCACTGGTTGGAACTGAATGAATGCACCTTTGTACATGGGTAGTTCAGCTTCATTGTCTCCTCCTAAGTATATACCAGGTTTCGTTCAGTTTGCTTGTTTGCACTGATTTAACTAGCAACTGACTTTGCAGTTCACTCTCCATCTGCTTGTTTTGGTGTTATGTTTGTATCAGGCACTTCAATTGATTTCAAGTTGTTCACTCAGTCATGTTGGCCTAAAATTTTGATTAGAGTCTGTCAATGTACCGATTGTCAGTTTATTGAATCCTCACTTTGAGGGTTCTCAAAATATTCCCTCAAAAGTGTGAAATGGTGAGTATTGGGGGTAGTTGTCTAGGTCACGAGTCCTTATTTTACCATTAAATCTTAGGAGTCATTCATCTGGCAAGATTTAAAGTTGTTATAAACATTGACAGACTTCTAATAGAACAAGAAATTTTGTGATGCGCAAAGATGCAGTAAGATTTGAGGCTTTCAAATCTTATTGACTCCTTGTTTCACTAATGCCCACTTTACGTAGGCTTCAGCCCAATTTTTGAATGCATTAATGTACGATACTGAGTGAGCTGACAAAGTCTAATCTGCCCCTCTCCTAGAGTGGTCCTAGAGATACATTGTCAAAGCCAACAATGCAGGCTCAGAGAATGTAAGACGAGTAAGAAGAGATGTGCATACATCAATTTTCATTAGAAAAATCTAGCTTGATATAGCTTTGTTCATTTAATCAGTTGGCGCCAGTGATTTTATTATGAAGGCAGCCAATATTGTCATGCTTTTGTATTATTATTAACTTATATGGGCATGTCAAAGGTAATACAAGTACCTATTAAACATCAACCAACTACTTAATAGTTATAGGTAATATATTTAATTGGTCACTTTGCCCAATTCACCCAAAATATCTTTCCTCCAGAGAATAATGTTCCAATTTCTCCTGCATGAAATAATTACCTACATCAGTCAGTTCTCACAACATAAGGATGGAAGTGCTTAAAATTGACTCAATATAATTGCTATTGGTCAGAATGCCTTCTTGTTCCCTGGGATATCAAAAAAATTCAGATCAATTTTTTATCCTCACAGTCCGAATGTAATTCCTCCCTGTTTTACTGTTGAAAGGTTCTGTGAAATAAAATTAAAATCAAAACAGCCAAAGCACTCATTGCTGGAATCCCACAAAAATCAGGAAGGATTTTTCTTTACTGATCCCTGGTCACAAGAGTTTATTCTGTTGAGTTCCTCTCTGTCTTATCACCAATCTCAGATAATCTAACAGTTATTTTCTTTTCATTGCAGGATGACTTCAAAGGAGCGCACTGCCTTTGGATACAATGATGATGTAAGCAGTTTTTATAAAAACCTTTGAAAAAGAGAGTATTACTGTGTCAAAATCTTGATTTCAACCGTAGTCACTGAGTGTAGAGTAAAAATTTTTGCATGTTTCATTACTTAAGGGCTTTTTTTTTATGCGGATCGCAGTGGAACGCGGTGGATCGCGATGAACATTGGTATTTTTTTATTCCGTTCCTCAGCGTGATCCAAGCGTTCCAGGTGGATCAGGGTGGAACGCTGGATCGCTCTTCCGAGGTGGGGCGAGCTCGCGATCCATTGTGATCCTAACCTAATGCGAGGAAGTTGCCGTTCCCAAAAAATCAAAACAATAACAAATCGAACCAAACTCAAAGTTTGGATTTTTTTATCACTTGGAACACTTGGATCGGTCCGGATCACTCAAGATTCCGATCCAGTGCGTTCCACTGCGATCCACCCTGATCCGCGATAAAAAAAAAGCCCTTTAAACAAGCTTGAGTTCCTATACCTCGTCTATTACACCTCAATCTTGGCATCAGTAATGTAAACACTAATGCATTTTTCATGTTTAAGAAGTCTAGTACTTAGATAGCTTTTCAACAAGTTTCCTAATGGTATGAAAACATTGAAGAGAGAAAGTCAGGAAATTTCCAAAATCTAAAAAAAAAATTAAGGAAATATACACTCATATCTTTTTTGCCAGCTCCACTTGAAAAAGGGAAAATTGTTTAGCTGAATCCTGTCTCTAGAATTCTCAGCTCCAGATTCTCCCCTGAAAAAAAGTTGAACAGGGTCACCAGCTTTAAAACCTTTAAAGTTAGGGAATTATTACCAACCTGGAAAAGTCATGGACTTTTGCAAGCGGTGTTTATCAGAAGTCAAGAAATTTTGCAAGTACCTAGTACTAAGCAGAAGTCAGCATAATTCAAAGGAAAAAATCTTAGTAGAAGTCTTGTTCAAATTTTGAAGTTGGGAAAATCATTGAAATTCCAGAAATTGGCAAATGAAGAGTTTATGGAAACTCTATGGAAGCAAAATTCAGAGAATTTTCTTTTCTTTTTTGTTGACACCTCTGGGTAACGCAAGTTTATAAATGCCTTGAGAGGGAGAGGCTTAATGGAGTCAGAATTTAGAATGCAGAATTATCTGTCAGATGGTACAAAGAATTTTCTTACAGTTGACAAGGATGCCGCATGTTTGTAGAACCAGGAGAGTTGTTCAATTTAGGTGATTCAATAAAATAAAGGATTTCCTATAATGGATGGACTTTTAATGACTAAAGGCTGTTTATCTTTTATCTCTTACAGGATGAAAGTGATACGGAGTCAATTGATTCTTCTGTCAATCAGATGGTCTGCCGCTCAGATATCAAAACAGGACCGACTTCTGATACAGAAGAGGTATTTTCTTACAATATTCTTATTAGTTTATCATTTGGGTACAATTTATGGTTTACTTCCCTTATTTCATCTTTTTTCTGTCAGTTTTTTTCATGTATTGTAATGAATCAATACATCAATGATCAAACTATAAAAGCAAAGATCTTGATTGCTGTGTTTCAAAATCTCAAGAAACTCGTGTAATTTCTCTCTATCACACCCAAAGATCAAGCAAACAACTACTCAAACTCTGGAATAGGTATATGGTATCAGGTGAAATTGAAGGAGAATTTTAGCTCTCTGCCTATCTCAAGTTCCTGGCGTTCCTGAATATAAACATCGCGGATTTTTCTTGAAATTAAGGTGGAAATTGTTTGTTCTCCTGTGTTGTTAATCAACAGGTGAAAAATTTGCGTACGTGCCCTGATATTTAAGTGTTGGACGCGTCATTTTAAATTATTTTACCGTAAAAACCGCGTATATGCCGCGATATCATATTGATTATCGCAAATTTTCTCATTTTTTCATTATATCGCCGAAAAATCGCGCTTTTCTCGCTATACGGAGAAGAAGAGGACGTCCTTTCTTAGGATATGCCGAATTCGCTGGAAATATCGCGTATTTCTCGCGATATTGAGGTGAATAACGCGGAATTTCGCAGTATCGTACACGGAAATCAAGCGAGCAACTATTTGAACCCCGGAGTAGTTATGTGGTATCGCGCGACATTCATGCCCGCCACATCCCACCTGGGGCCCTGGTACCAATTTTAAGGTCCGGGCCCCAAGCACGAAGGGGGAGTCCGAGGGGCATCCCCCGGATGTATAAATAATAAAGTTTGACGCGCCTTCAATCCGGCTGGCTACAACATGCCTACATCCGTGGTCGAATAGTCGTATCATTGCGCCTGCCGTGGATGAACCGAAATACCGACAGCTGCGCGCGAATAAACGCGTATTTATCTCCGATTGTAAGGATGCACACATCGACTGATGTTTTATTTTTAATCGATGTGTTTTACGAAGCGTTCTGTAATTTCCTGAAGGTTTTCCGGAAATTTTCGGAAATGATTTAAAAATAAAAATCATAGAAAGTTTCGACGCGTTACTCTCGTTTTTCCATTTTCTTCAATCAAACAACGAATCAAATACGATTAAATTTTTTGAATCGTCATAGTTGGAATACATATTTCAATTCAAATATCGTAGAACAGGTCAAAAATTAAAAATAATGACGCAAATTCTTAGGTTTGCGGCGATTTCAGCGTTGGGACAGCCAGGGAAAAGAACGCGGCTGCGTGATCTTCGCAGTTTGACGCGCCTTCAATCCGGCTGGCTGCAACATGCCTACATCTGTGGTCGAATAGTCGTATCATTGCGCCTGCCGTGGATGAACCGAAATACCGACGGCTGCGCGCGAATAAAAGCGTATTTATCTCCGATTGTAACGATGCACACATCGACTGAAGTTTTATTTTTAATCGATGTGTTTTACGAAGCCTTCTGTAATTTCCTGAAAGTTTTCCGGAAATTTTCTGAAATGATTTAAAAAAAAAATCATAGAAAGTTTCGACGCGTTACTCTCGTTTTTCCATTTTCTTCAATCGAAAAACGAATCAAATACGATTAAAGTTTTTGAATCGTCATAGTTGGAATACATATTTCAATTGAAATATCGTAAAACAGGGCAAAAAGTAAAAATAATGACGCGAATTCTTAGGTTTGCGGCGATTTCAGCGTTGCGACAGCCAGGGAAAAGAACGCGGCTGCGTGATCTTCGCAGTTTGACGCGCCTTCAATCCGGCTGGCTGCAACATGCCTACATCCGTGGTTGAATTAAATGGCGCGATTTTGAAGTGAAAAACGCGTAACTCTTAATGATTTTCACGTACAGCCGGAAAAATTGCGTTATTGCGGTGATAATCGCGTATTTTCACACTTTTTACTATATCTCTGGAAAATCGTGCGTTTGCCGCGATACGGAGATGGAAAGGGCGTAATTTCTAAGGATTTCACGATTGAGGAATCACTTTTCCCACAATTGAAGGAGAATCTTAGCACTTTTCCTCTCTCAAATTCATAACGTTCATAATAATGATTCTCGCATGGAAGTAAAATTCGCGTATTATCCTCGATATTGAGGTGAAAATTGTGTGTTCTTATGTGTTATTATTGAACCAATGAAAAAATTGTGCATATGCCACGATATTGAGGTGAATAACGCGTAACTTTTAATGCTTTTACAAAACCGTTGGAATAACTGCGCTTTTTTCGCGATATTACGGTGATAATCGCGTGTTTTTTCACTTTTTTACCATTTCGCCGGAAAAATCGCGCATTTTCGCCGAAATTGAGATGAAAAGCATGTAATTTAACGAATCCGCCAGAAATATCGCGCACATGACGCGGTTTTCCGATGAAACGCGCATCATTTTCTACGATTTCATACGGGGAAATCAAGCGAGCAACTATTCGAACTCCGGAGTGGGTATGTGGTATCACGCAAAATTGAATGTAAATATTAGGTTTTCACCGATCTGTAGTAACGGACATTTGTGAAGAACTCTCTCGCAACGATGTTAAAATCGCGCATTTTCTCCGAAATTGAGATGAAAAGCATGTAATTTAACGAATCCGCCAGAAATATCGCGCTCTTGATGCGGTTTTCCGATGAAACGCGCATCATTTTCTACGATTTCATACGCGGAAATCAAGCGAGCAACTATTCGAACTCCGGAGTGGGTATGTGGTATCACGCAAAATTGAAGGTAAATATTAGGTTTTCACCGATCTGTAGTAACGGAAATTTGTGAAGAACTCTCTCCCAACGATGTTAAAATCGCGCATTTTCTCCGAAATTGAGATGAAAAGTATGTAATTCATCGAATCCGCCAGAAATATCGCGCCCTTGACGCGATTTTCTGATTAAAGTCGCATCATTTTCTACGATTTCATACGCGGAAATCAAGCGAGCAACTATTCGAACTCCGAATTGGATATGTGGTACCACGCAAATTTGAAGGAAAATCGTAGGTTTTCACCGATCTGAAGTAACGGACATTTGTGAAGAACTCTCTCGCAACGATGTAAATAAATCGCGTATTTTTTGCGATACTGAGATGAAAACCGGTTGACTTTCTATGATCTTAAGTATCCGCTGGAAAATTGCGCATATGCCGCGATATTGAGGCGGTAATCCAGGATTGCACGAAAGGTCTCAGAAAGCATATAAGGATTGCGCGAAAAAGGCACAAGGATTGCGCGAATTGAAACCTTAACATCTGCTCCAGGAATTCGCGAATTGAAAATGAAGTTAAGGTAGAAAGTTTGGCAAAACAGGAAACAGTTTGATAATAAACGCTATAATATACGCAAAATATTTATGTTAACGCTACTTTAGGCTGGTTTGTTGACAAGTCATCGATGACTTACATTCTGATGATAAATGAAGTGAAAAGATTGAATAAAGGTCGTGGGTATAAAGAACTTTCCTAACTTGTTGGGGGAAAATATTTAACCGAGAGAGACAAGGCAACACTGGAATGCTCATACGGCGCCGAAACACAACATATGCCTTTTAAGCTCTATTATTCTATTCTGCGAATATTCTAACGCGAATGCGATTAATCGCGCCAAACACAGAGCGGCTGCCATTAAACGCATATTAGCGCCTGCAAGACTTAAGAAATACTTCACGCATTGCGCCTAACAGTGCGGTCGGCGTCAAGCCCTCGCTAGCGCCTACAAGACTGAATGGATACTTTTCGCATTGCGCCAAACGCAGTGTAAAGCCATGTTTTGAACTTTCCCGAAGTAAAATTCAAACTAAATTTTCCATTGAACTTTCAGTTTTCCTCTCTTTTTATTTCGGTTATTATAATTTTTTGTATTTTTAATTTAATTTTACTAGGAAGGTCTTTCTAATGTAAAATACCAGCCTGCTGAATTTTTGGATTTGTCCAAGCACAATTCTTACAATAAAACCAGTTTTGTGTCTGGTGTCACAGAAATTGACCTCACCGACGTAAGTTTTCCCCCATATTGACATTGAGCTATTGGTGATATTGATCCTCTTTAGCTTTTGGTTGCTCCTCGGTGCCATCTATTGTTATTAGGACTAATAAGAATGAACTTATCATCTCTGGTATAGGTTTTCTCATGCTCGTTTACCTAATTTTGTTAATTTCTTGATCCATCCCTTTCCCTGCCGTTCTCCTGCATTTATTCTTCTTCCTTATTTTAATGTACAGATTCAGGTACGAGAACAGATATTGATAACCAAACTGTGAAATTACATATCTTTATTGCAATTTTGTAAAATCCTTGCTTTTATTTAATTTTTTTTTAAGGAGATCAAACCATGGCTTGACATTTTTGCAGATTATTTGCCACATAGAGTAGAAAATTCACGGAAGTTTTAAAGAGATGATTTTTAGTAGTTTTTTATGTTAAAAATAAAGTATGTTAGGAAGTTGGCAACTTTGCAAACATATGTATGTGGTTTTGCTCTTCGGTCATCAATGTACTGCAACGTTTCACTCAGGTAATAGTATGTTACTTGAGTAGAAGCATTGTTTATAAGTTCAAGTCGTCCATATGCTTTCTCTTTTTGAGCTTGGGAGTTTGTTTCAGAAGAAACCAGCAGTACCATTATTCTTGTGAGATTTTACGCAGGATAATGTACTTTAACCACAAATCCCCATAGCATGCAAGAGCTCTATAAAAAAGCATAGGGATTGTTCATGGATTGTAAAAAAAATCTGATTAAAATTTCCAGTTAATTATAAGTTTGATAAGAGATTATACAAAATATTAAGAAATTGTGCAGGAAACCATATTTTCTATTTTTTGCCCCCTCAGTCTTGCAAAATGAAAGTCAAATTTTCCAAAAATTGATGATAACAACATCAGCTTCCAAGTCTTTTCCTCTATATTAAACCATCCCCTCTTACCTCAGTCATGAATCATGGCTCCTACTATTTTTAAACAAATTTTTCCGCTGAAATCACCTGATTCTAGCAGGGTTTATATATTTTGTTTCAATAATTTTGTCCGCTTTTATTGTTCATCATCGGAAACTTTGAACTGTCAGCAATCCAAGGATGCAAAAAGTCCATATAATGCGACACAGATTTGTTCCAAAAAGCTCCTCAATTACTGTCTGAATGAGGGAAATTTATTGCATTTTTAAGGTTGTTGGCAGTTGCTTTGATTGAACCACAGGGTTTGTAAATATATTTAGAAGTTTCTATTTCACTGCTTTGCTAAACTAATCAAATTATTCCAAGATTTTATCTAACATCAATGGCTGAATCAAAGTGTCTACAGGTCTGGAAAACGGGGATTGTCCGGAAATTTTATTAGGTTAAAAAAAAAACAGGGAAAGTCAAAGAATTCGATAATTTTTGAGCTAGTGAACAGCAAAAATGAATCACGGAAAGTCAGGGAATGGAAAAATGAAGAAATTATAGAAACCTTACTTTAAGTACCTCATGAATATTTATCCCTCTTCATTTTCACTCAGTCTGATCACCTCGACTGATCAGAAGGTGATTTTACATATTAAGGAACTCACAAGAGGTATCTTTAAAGAAAACAATTTCAAGACAAAAAAGTAATGTACTCAGGTATAACCAGGAAATTCATACTTTTTGGTTTTAATAATCAGATACCTGGTGAGACAAAAAACAAGAAAATAATGATTTCTGTTTTTTTTTTTTTTTTTTTTTTTTTTTTTTTTTTTTCTGATCATATTCATTGAGATCACTTTGCTCTCTATCTAGTTCAAGGGTGTTGAGTTTTGGAATGGTAGCTTTTTTGTAGCTATTGGAAATCTCACTGCTCCTTTCAATTTCTCATGACTAACTCTAAGCTTTTTTGGTTTCAGGAGGAAATGACCAACAGTGGTGCCAACAATGGTTATCATTCGGATTCAAACAGTGGCTCCTCATCATCCTCTTCCTCCTCTTGTTCATCTGACTCGGATTGTTCTAGCTGCTCCAGTGAGTCCAAATATTCCCTATCTGACAATAATGGTCGGTCCTCTGAAGAAGAAGGAAACCGGCCTAAATTTACTTGTAACATCTGTATGAAAACTTTTGCCTCTAACAGTACGCTAAAACGACACATACGAGCAGATCATTCTGACGAAAAAGATCATTATCCTTGTTCTGTGTGTGAGAAAAAGTTTCCCTCAGTTGTGCATTTGAAAAGACACTATCTAACACATTTTAGTGGAACTGCGCCCCTATCATGTAAGCTTTGTGGGAAAACTTACTCCCAAAAAATGCAGCTTGTTGGTCATATGGCAGTCCACAGTAAAGAAAACCGAAAAGTCACCTGTTCTATTTGTAACAAAAAATTCACAAGTAAGTCTATTCTGAAAGAACATGAGCTCGCCCATGCTAATGGGCAATTACACGCTTGTGAAGTGTGCGGTAGGTCCTTCAAACTCAAATCATACTTACTTGTGCATGAACGCACTCACTCAGTGACAAAACAATACACAGGTGATAGACCATTCGCGTGTAATGTCTGCGGGAAATCATTTTTAAGTAATAGTAATTTAGAACTGCACTCACTTGTGCATGCTTATGAAAAAACCACTTTTCCGTGTGATGTTTGTGGTAAAATATTTTATAGAAAGTCCAATTATGTTGCCCACTCTAAAGTGCACAGACCTGTCTGCCAGGATTAATTACGGCACAAATTTAAAGACAATCTTGGAATTGTTTCATTTATCCACACATCGTGTTGAAAGTTTCTTAAATTTTTATTCTTTATTACTTAATTGATTACCTAGTCTAAATTTAGAATTTACCTGATTCAATTGGTTCAATTGATAAGTTTTGAATGTGCTACTGATAAATATTTATATATTTTTTTTTTTTTGTCTTTTATACGTCCCAGCTTGAGAAGTAATTTGTAATGACACTGGTTAAAAATACATATATGTTTTTATATGTAGTTGAAATGTATTCTGCCTGACGGAATTTTTTAAAATGCGTCACATTATACTTAACTGAAACCTGTTTTGTTGTGGACTTGATCTCTTATTTGTTTGTTTTTAATCGCGAAGAGCTTACTTTACCTATTCAAAGAATGTAAATGATGTGTGTATGTATTTATGTTGTCAATCTACTTGAATTATTGTAAGTTAATCTTCAGCTAGCTGAGCTATATTCTTTGTTTTAATAACTCTGTAATTGGTTTCCTGTGTAACGCAATCAGAGCCACTAAGGTTTTCTTCATTGTTCCTCAACAGATTTTGCAATGTAAATTGTTTTTCTGTTGGGGGTAATTTTAAATGGATTTGATAACTCCTTAGATAAATCAGAGGGTAAGAAAATTTGGTACAAACACGGTTGGTAAGCACTGTCCCAGTTCTGAATCGGCTGTCTAGCAGAAGTTAGAGTCCCTGTATAACCAGATTAGCTCAAGATGGAATCCACTTCTTATAAGCGCTTGTTTTTAGGCTTCATGAATGTCATAACCAGGCAAGAAGATTACTTATTTAACGAAAGCAAATATTTCAAACTGGAATAGACCAGGGAACTGAGGACATAGCGAGGAACAAATGAATAGAGGGGGAGAATGTAGAAAAGGAATCTGGGAATGAGTTGATCAAAGATAACAAAAAAATTGCTTAGTGAATAATCTTCTTGCCTCTTTGCAACGCCCTTGAGCAGAGATTGTACAACTCTGGTTATAAGGAACTCTAGCAGAGTTTGCCCTTTCACTATCTTGTACATCCAAAAAGGCTCTAAATCTAGAATATCGGTATTCATTTCTTGCGTTTGATAAAAGCAGGCCTCGCAGCATCTTTTCAGGAATTAATGCCTCTTCTGATGGTAAAAATACTTTGCTATGTTATCAGTGCAATCTAGCTGCATTGTTTTAATCTATCAAATAAGAGGTGTTAGTTTTACTAGAAAAAGGCTAGAGCAAATTTTCCTGACAAAGATAAGCACCAAGTGGAAAGAAAGAAAGTGTAAAAGCACTGAGCTCATCAAGCAGTTCATAAAACGCTAGGAAGTGGCTTGTTCTCAATGACGCTGTGGTTCACCTGTATTAAAGTTGTCAAAAGCGAGGCGCCTGGTTTTATTGAGGTATATTTGATCTCTTTGAAACTGATGCAATTCAGAATACGCGCATCCCCAGGTTCTTATGCAACATTTTAAAGCAAGTACAGAACGTGCACAAAGTAATCTTTAAATTCTGTTGTATGAAAAAGCTATTAATATTATACCTATCAAGTATTTTTTTCACAACGTTGGAACAGTGAATTAGTTATCTAATGTAATTTATTTCAAAATTTTATTTATTATAAATGTTTATCTTATTTCAATTTTAAGATAGCAGTGTTTTTCCTTCTGAAAGATTTAATGCTGCATCTATGCATCATCAAATGGAGCTACCAGTGCTGATGTAACTTTTTGAGCTAATGCCCTTAAGCACTCATCATTCATTGTTCTGATTCAACAGCAAAATAAAGTTTTCAGTCATGCAAAGTAAAATTGGAGTCTGAGGGAATATTCAACCAATTGAAAACTCTGGTTCATAACAGTTAGGTAATGATCTCTTTTCAATCCTCGGTCACTATTGATCTAATTGCAATATTTAACTGATTTCACAACTGAATGAGCAATTTCGCTAAGGCTAGCTTTCTGTAACGGAGCTCCTAATTTTTGCAAGAAAATTTCTCAGAAATGTCTGCGTTTTCAATCTGTCACAAGTTAGTTCTGAACTTAATCTCGGGTCATAATTTTTTTTCTTATTTTTAGGTTTTTTAGAAGTTTTTTCCCCCTTATCTCACTATGACCTGTAGCTAACTTCAGTTAATATTTCACCATTGTCTTGCATATTTTCTTGGACTGCTGTTGAATGAAGGAAGAAGAAAAAAACGACCCAAATCTTGAAAATTCTCCTAAGTGCAAACAAACGATTGAAGTTATTTTGAATGAATTCGATTTTACCTTCCTGATATTGTCAACAAAAAGAGAAATCGAGTCACATGTTTATGGGCCTTGTATATTCTTTTATAATAGTGTATGTTTTATTCTTATTTTTCTCTCTTCACCCTGCTAAGTGCTTTACTTCATAATGTTGCTGTAAATCATATGCATATGCATACCCCAGTTGAAATTATGAATGTCCTCTGACAAGTATTGATTGTAGCCTCTCAGATAGCCTCTCCTAATTACTGATTTATGATTAAATTCTACAGAAATTTTAGAATGTTCGTACCACATGTTTTAAGAAAAGTTAACAAAGTCTTATATCATCTGTCATCAGGGGTGCAAAAAGCTCTGAAGAACTCAGTTTCTTCAAAAAATTCAGTTTTAGGCAGCTATTCGGGATTTCTTCCTTATAATCTCAGGTCTTTGTCTCTAGTTTTTATGCCATCCGACGGACTGTAGTTTTTTTTCTTTATGTTGAAGTTATTTTGTTCAAAGTTTAAGAATGTTCCCTCAATTATTGTTGATTTTGAGATCAGATATTTTTGCATCCCTGTCTGGCATTTTCGATCAGTGCTAAGCAATCTTTCCTTGCAATTTTGCCAAATCGGGTTTTTCTGTTATCTTTGAGCACACTCTCTAATTATGAAGAACTGGTGCTAAAGAGTCAAGTGATTTCTCCTTTTCCTACTCTCCTCCAAAATTTGAAAAATTGGCTCAATCAGTTTGCTGCGAATAGTAACTTCAATGGACGATTTGAGAAACCACGTCTCTCCATACAATGTTTCAAAATTTTCACTCTTATCTAATTTTTACGAAGAGAAACGAGCTAGATTTTCAGCTTAAAATTCATTCATAATATTCTGCTGACAGAAAAGAAAAATCAAGGAAATTTTTAAGAAATTGTGTTGACTAGTTTTTGAAAGGAAAAATAAAACATGACAGGTAGGTGTTGGAAACTGAGGTACGTGGTTTCGCACTTCGACCATCGTTACGTACCTTCAAAGTCTTGGCTCTTAACTTTTTCCTGTATAGCGTATATTCATATATTTACTTGGGGTTTTCAAGCAAGTTTTAGGCCCATAATGTAAGAATCTTCACCCCTGATTACTTGGCTCCCATTTGTTGGGAAAATATTGTCTGCAGAACAGTCAAAAAATCCATGTACTCGTAAGTCGGTTTTGGATCTTGTTCCAGAAAGTTTCCCCCTAAAACTTTTAACACTGTTACCTTTATTACTAAAATAAACATACAAATTTGTGAACCTTCATTCAAGTTCGTGTATGATCAAATCCTCAGATTGCTTTTAAGTTGTTTCAGTAGGTAACCATTAAAAAATATTTCTTCCCCCGTCAACCAGAAGAATATAATGAGGCATTGAGAGCATTATTTTTTTTTTCGTTGTTCTTGTAGATAGTGATCTAAGGCCTCATCTGAAATGTTAAACTAAGCACTGTCCTGTTTTCATGCTTGAAAAAAGGAACTGAAACAGGCCTTAAAACTGAAACACTGAAATTATTGTATCCTCGAAAAAAAAAAGAAACTTGAAGTGTTTGTGAATGACTGTTTTTTTTTTTTTTTTTTTTTTTGCTCATCATAGTTAAAAATTTGTTTTGTTTCAATGAAAAGGCATAAGTCTTTAATTTATCTGGTTATAAGGTTTGATCACCTTGCATTGTCAGCGAATCTATATCTGTGCAATAAGACCAGCAATTTTCAAATTTTGTGCTAAATTTCTATGACTTAAGGAGCTAATAATATTAGCAAATTTTACCCAGGTAGTGGAAAATAAATTATTATTTATTTAATACTATCATCAATTTATTTTAATTTTTTTCAGCCCTCTTTTTAGAATGAAAATGCCAAAAATAAACCCACCCGATTTCAGTCCATTAGCGGTTGATAATTTTGGTACTAAATAATGCAGCAAGCTGCAAATGTTGAATGGAGTTATTATTTGTAGAAAACATTGAAATCGTGTATCTAGTAATAATCGGTCAAATCATTGTGATACAAAAATTAGCTTCAAATTTAGAGGTCATGATAAGGGTTTTTTCTCTGTCTCTTATTCTCATTATACTTTTTTTCCTTGCTCTTTTTTAATCAGCGTGTAATATGTATCATGAAAAGATATTATACTCATTGCTTTTCTTTAAAACTTCTTTTTTTATTTTTAATCACTGTTACACTGTTTCTGAGTTAAATCATTTGAATTTATATTATTTGATGTTTATGAGAATCTCTTGAGACATTGTGAATGTATCACTCTTATCCAGCAGGTTGTAACTGATCACAATCAAGTGAACACACATTTCTATTAATTAGCGATTAGTAGAGATAATTTCTATTACATTGTCAGATTTCTAAGTAGCTGCTCAGTGCTCTGATACATCCTCAAGGTGTAAAATTTTAGTTTCTCGAGCTTTTGACTTAGTGAGTTCCCTTTTTTGCTTGCTATCCAATAAATGCGTTCAATCCATATTTTTGTTGGTGTATGAAATCGTAGAATTTACTAGATCTCTTGATTTATTTGCATCCAGTTAAGTTGTTGGTAATTTTTCAAAATTAAAAAAATTTGACGAAAACTGTCTTTAAATCAAGACTATTTACTTTTACGTAATTTTATTTTTCTCTGACACGTATCACCGTATATGTACAGCTAATTTTTAAGTAAGTAATTATCTCTTTGTAATTTACCTATTGACTGTGAAACCATGAAAATGAGTATCTCACTTGTGGTGTTTCAAAGCTTCCACATCAATTCTATTTTCTTAGGAGGGAGGCTTTTGTCTAAATTTTTTGAGAAAATTGTTAGGCAAGCTAAGAAAATCTTATAGAATTTTTTTCAATGACGATAATCAGGCGCCATTTTAAAGAAAAAAAATTTGCAATCTAAGGTAACATAATTTTGTGGTTTCACTATCGTTATACTATCAATTCGCTGTTATCCTTTTCTGCTTCTTTTTTATTTGTTTTATTCACAAATTTTCTGATAATAGTTGAACTTTCTAACCTCTATGATAATTTGAAACTTCACATTGCAATACAATTTTTGTTTATTCTGTAAGATTATATTTTTCTGATTTCCATTGTTTAATATTTATCTGCTCTTTCATTTGATTTTTCTCGCTGATTGTGAGTTGTAAGTCATATTGCCATTCAAAGGACCATGCACACAATACCAAAAAATTTGGTGCCAGCTAAATTTCGATGTTTCTTTTATTATGTTCTTACGGCCTTCTGAGCACAATAAGCTTCAAAAATGAACTCTCTATGTGCCCTCTAGAGAAATGAGAGGCAGAAACGATAATTTGTCTGCATATTTACATGAAATATCTGGTAGAAATATTGCAACATCCTATTGTTGATGAGGATATCTTTTGTTTCCTCACAGGCCCGAGAGATGACACAGACGTTGAAAATGGAATTCCTGCGAACGATAAGAGCGCTTAGTGCACACACTAAGCAACAGTCCCCCATTTCCATCAAAAAACACGTGAAAGAGGACCAAAAAATTTACCTTTCAACAATTTAACCCTGCTTTTCTCAAGTTTGGTACATCGAATGTTCAATTTTAAAAGCTCATCGTTTTAAAAGAGGCCATGAGAGATAACATTAAAAAATGCGAAATGTAGCAAGCTTGGTATTGTGAGCATAGTCTTTTCAACTCTGTGTACAAATTAGTCTATCTTTGAATTCTCTTTTTATTTGTAATTACATTACCGGTAATTGCAGTTCATTTTTATGAAGCTTGATCAATTTATGTATTTTACTATGTATTATTACAAAATTATTATTCACAAAATTCCCTTTTGAAATGTGTGAGAGTGAGGAGAATAAAGTTTTACTAGACCATTTGAAATTGTGATATGGAAAGTGCTAAAAATTGTCATTGATTTTATTTATATCATGTTGTATGTTGCGACGCTTACATCAACACCTAGAAGTCGTAATACTGTGGCTACATTTTCATTGGTTTGAGGTACCAAGGAATCAAAATATTGAATTACATCCCTTGTATGCATAGTGAATACATGTTGAGCATTCAAGAAGCTTTTTTTCTGAAATGGTAGCCACTTATGTTGTGGCTGCTGGCTACAAGTGTTTACTGTAATTGTAGAATTGATATCAAGTGAACATCTTGTCAAATACATTTTAAGGTATGCACAAGCCAAATAGTGCTTCCAAGCTCCTCCCCTCGGCATCATGCCTACTTTTAAAAGCATTGTTCAAATGTACATAATCGAGACAGAAAGTAACTTTTCAGGCTTTGTTTCTTGAAACTTGCTTATAATTTTTCGTTCTGAATCATGATTTTTTTTTCTTTAATTATTATCATTACTAACGATGTAGTTCTCAGGAAATTTTCGAAAATTTGAAAAACCTTGTAACTCCTCTTTCTCGACTTTTTTCTCCAGAAAACTAATTGATCTGCGCTTGAATATTATTTTCCTGTAATTTGTGAAAGAGCTTAGTCAATTTGTGTTAGAATTCATCTGCAAAATTAAACAAGCTCCATTTTTCGAAAAAGAACCTATAGAATCTTTCCCACCACCAAGATCACCAAAAATATGTATACCTGAAATGTTTCATCTTGCACAACTTTACTTAGGATGAATAAAGCAGAAATAAATGGGTGTGTCACTTGAATATTATACATTAAGTCTCCTTAAACTTATATGGCCCATTCTAGTTAATTTTGATAGCTTTGACTCTCACCGTTATATCTACTTTCACGCCATTCAATTATGTTGAGTTTTCCTGTAAAAATTACCGGATAATTATCGCAGTTTTTAAACGAATAAATCATTCCTTTTAGCTTCATAATGTTGATTATTTCTCTTTTTCCGAACTCATTGCTTTGTGCAATTACATTCAGTGTCTCAATGACTAACTTCCAAAAACAGAAGCATAACCATGAAGAGGAGTCATTGGGTAGGGGATTTGGACCCCCTTCCTCTCCCATGACTTGAAACCTTTCCGAGAAACAACCAGTCTCTGTCAATTGAGGCAATTTTGTATATAAATACATATTCAATCAGAAATGTAATACCCCACTCGCCCTCCAAGAAAAACTCCAGGTCATGCCACTGTCATCATAAAATCTAGATTTATAATAGACATATGGACCATAATATCCCCGAAAACATCTGCACACTGGTTGTAGGTTTTGTTCTCAATACATACTGGTCTCAAAATCACAACGTAAATTATCAGCAACATCGATATTCATTCTTTAGTAACAAGTGATAACAGATATTCATAAATAAGATCTTCCAATAATAGATGGAAAACTGAATTTTTAAAATTAAACTAAATTTTTAACGATGGAAAACTTATTTTAATCACACCCAAGTACATTAAGTGGAGTGAAATTTATGATCTTTACCCAATTGTTCTCGATTTTTACATTGAACATGATAGAAAAATGCACTTGCCTAGTTGTGTAATGAACATAAACACATATCGATGGTGAAACTGTAGAAATGTGTACCTCCCATTTGATATGCTGCAGATCTCTGGCCACGATTTATTCTCTAAATGATTAAATACATGATGTCATTTTTTTATTTTAAAAAAAAAACGAATTTTTCAGCTCCGTGAAAAGAATATTATTTAGAAATTTCAAGCAATAGTATCAGCTCATTCTCCCTTAAGAACAAGAAATGGGAGCGGTGACTTTAAAACACCGCCAACGAGTTATGCATTTTGTAGTTTCACTGTCGATATTTCAAATTTAGAGAGCACATGATCTCTTATTTTTAAGTGTATCACTCTCACGATGGATGGTTGTAGTTTTCATTATTGGTAACTAGCATTAATTAATAATTTAATGAAAGCAATACCCAGTGATGCACAACAGTCTCAGGATTTGGTGGCTGAAAAGTGATGATAGCCCTCCCATTTTCCTTAGGACTTCACATGTTCAGTGGTCGCATCTAAATCAGAATGAAATGAAAGAATAAAAAAGATTGTGACTTGCTTCTTCTTTAAGTTTAGGTACTTTTTAAAGCTTTGCGATAAAATTATTTAAGTCTTTGCTTCTTAGTGAACGTAGTTGTTTTCATGAATTTTAAATTCAGCAGTTTTGTATTTTTCGTCTAAAAGGGAATGATTCTAAAGAAATTACTCGAGCATTCTCTCATATCTCTTCCTCAATCTTTCCTCTTTGTTTTATTTGTTAAGTAGGCAATTAATAATTTATTTATTTATATTCACTTTCAGTCATCCTAGACATAGTAAACTATAATGATTTTTGCCAATGCCTAAACTATGAAGTTATGAGTTTGGAAAATTCATGGAAGAACTCATTTGCACATTTTGTAAATGATTGTTTTAGTTGTCGCCTGAAAGAACAAATAATAAACGAAAACTGACGAAAGTTTTGTGTTTGATTTTTCAAAGTCATCGCCTGCTCTAAGACTACCTGGTACCCAGTGAGAGCGATATGTCTCATTTTTTACTTATAGTAGCTCACTGATAACTTTCAATCTTATTCGACAAAAATGCATGTCTCTTTTGGGTACCTGTAATTTTCTTATTTCCTCAGAAAGCCTGTAGTAAACCGTGCCTACCTCGCATGCTCGAACCTCAAATAGAATTTTGTAACCAACATTTCTATTGAAATTGAGTCGAAATTTTTAAACATAATTACATTATTTTTACATCATTCGGTCAGTGATTGATGGTTATTTTAATTTCATTCCAATTTAAGACAAGACTCTGGAGCCCCTTCAATTAGAATACAGGCAACATACGCAACACTCGTGCAGTAGCATATGCGCTCGCTGTTAGGAACCGTTAGCTCTAGCTCACTTCAGATTCAGATACATATTCATCACACGTGCTATTAACATTCTGATACACATACATGGCTTAATGGATGAGTAAGAAATAGTGACTCCCTGTGACAAAATTAATTTCGATTGAAAAAATTTAACCGAAATTGGCTTAACTACATTAGAAGTTGCATAATTTTCTTTGATCTCATATTTTTTGAGGAGAGAACTAAGGATGAATAAAACTTGAATTTTTTTAGTATATTCTTTGAAACCTGGGACGAACTTACAAAAAATTTGAAAGCATTAGTTAGTTAAGTGTTAAGAAAATAAAACATGAGAAAAATTTAGGCAACGTGAAATGTAGTTAGACTGATTCCAATTAAATCCGTCTAATTTTTTGTTTGGATCAGAAAGTTAAGCACAGCTCTGGAAATGAAAAAAGTTTTATTTTTAAGTGTGCACATCGAAGAGCGTGAAGAAAAATGGAGTCATTGTATTCTGGAAGCTTATTCCTCATATTTATTCTATCAATCGGAAGAGAACGTTTATGTACTTTGCACTTATCTGGGTACCGGCACGAGTAACTCCCGACTTAGCTATTTCTAACTCACTGTGATAAGTGATTACCTATTTAGATCGGAGGAGGTGCTAAATTTTTAGGAGGGTGATTCCATCTCGGCGAGAATAGTATTGCTTTTGATTCCAATCATTGATAAGTAACTATTGCTTAATTACTTAGTAGTCAGCGTCAGGGAAAACCTGGAAAAGTCTGAATTTTACTCCAAGTCAGGGAAATTCTCAGAGCTGCGGCCCAACAGCTAAAACCTCCCCTGGAATTTTTATCCTGTAAAGCTAGTGCCGTGAGTAGTTAAATCCGCGATTTGTTCGCTAGTTCAATACTGCAAGGGACTGAATATCAACACCTATTGGCTCTTGGTTATAGTTTTTTTGCCTTTTCTCCTAATTTTTTTTTTATTCAAGCATTGAATCATTTATAATATATCCAGGCAGCATGTAAATCGTCGTATTTGGTTTTTTTTGCAAATTTCAACTTCATAACTACAATTGTGGTGCTTCAAAGTTTTCATAGCTGTTCTTAAATAAACTGTTTTCTTTTTTCTTTGTAAAAAAGTCAAGGAAATGACAGGGGATTTCAGCGCCTTTTCCCAAAATGTCAGGGAACGTTATAGGGAATTTGGAATAATGCAATATTGGCGGCTCACCAGTTGAAATAGTTGCATCACGCATTTTCGTTCCGTGTAGTGTACAGGGATGAGTGACTTTCTTTGTAATCTTCGTGTTTTTGACCGTGTAATGACCATCGCAGCGGAATATTCAGTAACCTCCAATCGATTCTCCCCACAGGCGCAGAAAAATATTTTAATATCGGCATTGAGATAAGTTGCAAAAGCTTGAACGCAGCCGCGCTCTCTCTGAATAATTAAAAACGGGAACCAGAAATCAAGTTCGCCTTCAACTCGATGGACGCAATTTGAGCGGCCCAGGAGTTGAAATAGTTGTATCACGCTTTTGGTTTAGCGCGATGTCCGAAAGGCAAGCCACATTCATTGGAAATCCTCACGTTTTTAAAGACCTTCGCAGCGAATCTCCCAGGAAATTTTACTAGATTCTGTCCGTGGGAAACATTTTGATAGTGAAATTAAGATAAGTTGAAAAAGATAGAATGTATAGCCCCGGTCTCGGGTTTGTGTTTGTGTTTGTATTCGGGTTGTACCTATTCGGTTTGTATTCGGGTTTCGCAAGTATTTCAATTTCAAACTTACAATTGTTACAGTACTTCAAAGTTTGCATAGCTGTTTTTAAATTAAAATTATCTTTGTAAGAAATCAGGAAATAACAGCACCAGTGGTCAGGGAATTTTCCTAAAAGTCACAGGGCCGGATTAAGGGAGTGGCCACATGGGCCGCGGCCCATGGCGGCAAATTTAGGGGGCGGCAAATGCTGTAATTTTTTCAAATTTCGGTATCAATAAAAAATCTGATTCAGAAAAAAAATACAAACGAGAAAAGGTGAAAAAATCTCTCATTTCCTGAGAGATAAAGTATAGTAATTTCTAATTTGTTCGTTTTTCGGTGATACAAGAGACAGCGCCTTTCGTTAGTCCAGTTGAGAGAGAAACCAAACATGCAATTTGGCTTGGAGCGGCGCGGCGCAGAGAGCAACGATGACGAGGATTTGAGAGGGAAAGGAGAAGCCCTCGGCGCGCCGGTCAGCATGAAACACATATTAGCGCCTACAATACTCCATGAATACTTCACGCACTGCGTCAAACGTTATGCGGTCAGCAGCAGTTGGTGAAAGGCATAGTGCCTACAAGACTGCATGAATACTTCACGCATTGCGTCAAAAACAGTGCGGTCACCAGCGGTCGGCGTGAAACGCATAGCGCCTACAAGACTGTAGGGATACTTCAAGCATTGCGCCAAACACAGTACGGTTGGCGCGGTGGCGGACATTGAAATCATGAAACCACATTCATGTTTATTCTTTCATAATTTTTTCGTTTTTTCGTATAAATGAAAGGTCTCGTCCACACAGAGATCGGTTTACGGAACTTAGTTTTCGCACAAAGTTCCGTGAACTTTTGCTAGTGTTGACAGGGCTTTCACAAAAAATGTGCCCAACACGAGTAAACACATCTTATGCACCCTCCTCATCCGGCACGTTCACTTGATGGCTTGTATCGATGTTTCAAAACTAATGTGAAGGGGCGGCAAAATACAGGTGGCCCATGGGCGGCAAGTAGGTAAATCCGGCCCTGAAAAGTCAGAGAAGGTCAAACAAAAGGTCAAGGAATTTTGAAATTTAATTAAACTTGCGACCCTAAAATGAGAAGACTTCGGTAAAGGATCCTTTACCCGTATGCAAATGATCGGATTAATAGAAACTGAGACCATTGAAATTCTTCTAGTGCCGGATTTATGAATTTTTTTACTTGATGCAAGATTGACTTAAGCGTCCTGTATAGGGAGGTTCGAAGGACACCCGAAAGCTCAAGCATGCCTTGAAGCATATCGATGGTGAAACTACCAAACCACGCATCTCGATTTGCGGCGTTGCAGACTTCCTCTCATATTTTATTTTTTGAATGGAAAACCACTCCAAGTCAAATCCTGAAAAATTTCGTGATTCTTTTTCTCTGTGCGAAGAAAACTCTGTGAAAACTTCAAGGAACGATATTGATTTGCTCTTCTTCAAAAAAATAAAATTGGAACGAAGATTTTTCAACACCGCCGACGAGATACTTGGTCTGGTAGTTCCACCGTCGATATCAAACACTGGTGCTTCATTTGTTTATCATAACTCCTTTTTGCAGAAGTAAAGTATACCTTCTTAGGCCCTCGGCCCTCTGAGAGCATCGGATTTTTCAAATTTGGTAGTACGTATGAGACTTCGTTGAAGAGAACATAGGTTTTAGCACTGATGCCAGGCTCAGTGCGCTAAGCCGGCCGGCTTTCGTAAAAACAAGAGCACCCAGAGCTCCAGTCAGCGGTGCGCCCTAAAATCAATACGAAGCAGCGGCCTGCTTGCCCGCCGCCGTGTTGCAGAACCAGAACAGATGTCAGCCTCGAAGTTACATCGCACCTGTGGAAGCTTAGGCGTGTCGCGCCAGTCGCTGCCAGCCTTCTTTTTACTCGCAAAAAGAGACGTTCATTGCCGGCAGTTTTTCTCATCGTTGCCTCTATTTAAGCAGCTTTTGTTTTACGGCCATGCATTCCGGCACGTAGGTATACCTATAACGCAAAATATCCTCTCTTTGCTGTCATTATATTCACCCAACGCAACTTTAAGCTATTCTTGTCAAATAGGTACTTAATCGAGTAATGCCAGGCAGACCCATTCTGTTTCTCGGCTATGACGCATCAGATTTCCCGGGTGACTTCTATTTCAGGGAGGGGGGGGGGCGGAGTCTGATGAGACTTTTTCGTCCTGGTCATGCTCGAATCCCTTCTCCTCCCTCCTCTCTCGTTGCAAATGGTGGGTAGAGGGATATTCGGGGAAAAGGAGGCGGGCACTACTGTGAACTTCAGAAATCAGCCAAGCTTTCTCTTCGCTTCATTCTGAAATATGTTGAGCAAGTTTTTCATGGGTGAATATTTACACAGAGGCAAGCAGGCGGGTGCCTATCAGGAGGAAAGTTGTATAAAAAATCATTCACGACTGCGTAGATGCAATTAACATTTTCACGAATAGGTATGGCTTGGAAAGAACAGACTTTTCAGGGAAGGACTGGAAAAATTAACGATACACATGAAAGACCTCTCGCTCATGTATTTAAGGGGTTATGCAATTTGAGTCGCAAGAAATCATCAGCCGCAAATCACGTTGATTTTATCACGCTCATTACTCCCATTTGCAGACAATAACAGTGTTCTACTGAGGATTTCTCATTGGAACTGGGAGTCACAGAAGCCTCTGAAATTCCAAAATGTAACTATTTCGGGTAGATCTCCTTCTCAGCCTCCAAATTTATGACTCCACACTGCCTGAAATAATCNGGGGGGGGGGGGGGGGGGGTGTTCGGCCAAACGTTTGAAGTGTGCAAAAGAAACTGGAAGCGGAAATCTTGAGACACCGT